GAAAGAACTTGGCAAAAGAAACATGGGCTGGTTAAGGAATGAACATCGTGGCCGATAAAATGTGCAAATTCTCGGCGCAGGACTTTCATGCCGTCCTTTTTCTTCTTCTTTGGAGGCTTTAAACAACCCACCCAAAAAACAATTAATTTGCAGGTCGCCATTTTTGACACACGTCCGCATGTAATTGTTTGTGAGACTTGTCAGCAAGCCATGGCCTTCCGTTCGCCATGGCTGTTCGAGTTGCATCACTTGTGATGGAAGGCGGCGTCCCGTGCCTCGGTCCTGCCACCCGTTCAATACAAGGCTGAGGCTCAAAATTAAACCACAGGTTGAATCCATGTTTCCATTTGCCAGGGTCCCCATTTTGGATACATATTCTTGACCCACTGCCACAAGCATAAAAGTTAACAAACCTTTGAACAGGGATGTTTTACACTGCATCATTTTTGGCATCTTATGACTTCAACCGGGCATGACATCTCCGGGTTTTGTTTTTTGGGGTAGCCATGTTTGTCAGGAAGGAGTCAAGCAGGCCAAATAACGCGAGAATCCCCACCAAGTTGTCCTCACATTTCCACACGCTACACGTCCTCCTCAAACTCAACATAGATTAAAAACCGTGTTTGAGTTGTGGTCAGGAGGGAGGTCCACAAGGAAACCGTTTGCTTGAAGACATATTCCCCTTTTCTCAATGCGGCATGTGAAGGCGCAGAAAATCGGAACTTGCATCGAATGGGGGGCATGGTCTTGAAGGACCCAGGTCGGACTTAGTTTTTTGCCAACGCTGGTCTTTTGAAAGACACCTCAAACATGGCTGGTCGTTGGTGTGACCTCAGCCTTTTGGACTTTTTGGACACGATTGGATTTCTGTGGTTGTCCTGCTGTGGGAACTTGTTTCCTTTTGCATTTCCAGGGAGTATTGCCCATGCAATGCTGCTGACTCCAGTGCCTTGGACAAGTTTGGGCCATCTCCTTTGTGGTTTTGGAGTGTTGGATCCAAATCACCCATCCACATCCAAGTTGGGACTGAGGCGAACACCATCCAGGAAAAAAGAGGACATTGAACAAGTTCTGACTCCCTAAGTGCTGCTTGCTGAATAAGGCCAGTGAAAGGAGAGTCGCGATTCCTCCTGGGCTAGCGTTCAGGTGAGCCGGAGGGTGAAGAGAAGCCGGGCGTCCCAGTTTGCGGGGTCCCTGTTTGCCAGATGGTTTCCTGAGAAATCCAGTGAAGGTTTCTCAGCAGGTTTTCCAGCCCTACGCTTGGAACTGAGCTGCCCAAACAATCGTGCCTTCGTTCTGGGCTCCCGCTTTCTGGTTTTGTTGTTTCCACGCCGGCCAAGGGCCGACGCCTGAAATGACTGCACGTGTTTTGAGAAACGCAACCTTCAGGAGGCTCGCGGGTTGCGCTGAATTCAGAAGCGTAATCCCTCCAGTCGCGTGAGCTTTCGGTCCAAATGTGGCAGGTGACGAATCCCATTTCGCACTGTGAGGATTAGAGCGCAGTATTTCATGGCATCCCCACCGCAAAGACGACAAGCACCATCCTCAAACCGTAGACACCTGGCCCTGTTGCAACTCATTTCCTTTTGCTTGCTCAACTCATTTCAATACTGGACAAAGCAACACCTCAGCTTTCTAGCGGGAGTACTTGCTATAATTGGCAGTGCTGAGGTTGCTCAACTCATTTCAATACTGGACAAAGCAACACCTCAGCTTTCTAGCGGGAGTACTTGCTATAATTGGCAGTGCTGAGGTTGCTCAACTCATTTCAATACTGGACAAAGCAACACCTCAGCTTTCTAGCGGGAGTACTTGCTATAATTGGCAGTGCTGAGGTTGCTCAACTCATTTCAATACTGGACAAAGCAACACCTCAGCTTTCTAGCGGGAGTACTTGCTATAATTGGCAGTGCTGAGGTTGGGATTTCTTTTTTTGCAATGATCCAGCTGAATCATGTTACACATGATTGTGTCTTGCAATTACGGATCTCCCTTTTGGATAGTGTCCAACGGGAAGCCAAATTAAACTAGCAATTTTGTGGATCTGCTAGCTTTGGCAACAACATGTCAGGGCCATCACACCCATCTACATACAGCGGTTCTAAGGACAGCGACATCTCTTGTGACCGCGTCACGTCCTGTCAGTCGTTCGAAGGTGCTGCTTAAAGTTCACAAATGGACATTCTTCAAAATCAGTGGACTGTGACGCTATTAGGGTCGCGCAGCTCGGCAAAGGCAGGTAGAGAAGGACTCTGAGTCAGAGGCGTGGGGCGCGGGGTGGCGGGGTGGCGGACCAGGGCAGGGCTTCCGTGCAGGATTTCGCTTTTTGCCCCGATATCGCCCTCGAAGCAATTTGGTGGGCTGGGGAGAATGGGCTCTTGGACGTTTGAAACGGCATCACTACTTGGTGAGTTGCAGGGTCCGATGTTGCGCCTGATTGGAGTAAAGATGGTTGCCACATGGGCAAAGAGCAAAGAAGTTTGACCATGGCACGCCAACGTGGCACTTTTTGGAGTTCCTTATTGGACAATGTTTGGATTCTTCCTAGATTTCTAAGAATCCACTTCGGAGGTATGCCCAATCATGCGGCACACTCGTAGCCTACGATTGCTTCCGCCCGAGAGACAAATTGCAGCGAACAGCCGTGGAGTCGTTGATGGCCCGTCTTTGCCTTTGCCATCTCCAGGAGATTGTACACCTCGGGGAGTAGAGGGGAGTACGTCAGAATTTTCGCGGGAGGGATGAATTTCAACTACGCAAAAGCGTTTGCGACCGTCGGATGCCCTGCTGAGCTCCCCTGTCCGTTCAAGGGGGTTTCCTGTAGGTTGGAAATAGTTGGAACCTTGTTTGATATCTCAGTTCAAGGATTTGGAGCGTTGATGCGACCATGTGCCTGCCCAGAGCAAGTTTTTCATGACCAATTGAATCAGAAACCTGTAGCAAATGAATTGCTCGGAATGGATCCTGTTTATATAAGGTACTCCAAACCAAGCTTTTGGTCGTGGGTTGGTATACCAACGATGGGCGAATTCTCGGCTCACGGTCAGGCAAAGCAAAGCTTTTCAAGAAACCCCCGCAAGAGCGCCAAAACGAACCCATGTGGCTCCAACAAGATCTTCTCAGCCTTGAGGAGAGGAGTCCTTGTGTAGCTCATGTTTCCTGCTAACACTTTGGGTGTTGGCCGGGGCCGTGTGCAGGCCAGCGACGAAAGCCTTCCGCAGATTGATGAGGCAGACTTTGCGGGGAGCAATTTTCAGGGCCTAGGGACACACAGCAACACACAGACACCCAGACGCACAACGACAGACACAGAGAAACGTCCGTATTTCAGTCGGAAGAAGATTGATTCGCTCTTGGTTGGCAGGAGAACGGCCGGAAGGTGTGCTTCCTTTCTACCCTCCCGCTCGCGAGCTATGCCGGAGTGGTTCTATGAAATATAGTGCCGACAGGGAGCTCGCAGGATAGTGAGAAGTGTATAGTGTATCCAAACACCCCACAGCCTCACAGTCTACACTCCACCAAGTTGCTCAAGCCCCAGCACAAATCCCAGTATACATCTGAATTCCCGGGCCCTCAGCCCATTCCCAGAGAGGTCAAGTCTGAACCCCGCATTTGCATTCCTCAAGTCTGTATCTTAGTGCTTGCACCGGACTCCTGAAGCGGTTGGTTTTCCCTTACATCGACACTCTCAACTAGGAGCATCCCCCAATTTGAGACATGCGTGTTGGAGGCGGAGCTGGATGGGGAGATCCTCATTGAGGCAAGAGTTTTGGCCGGGATCAGTACGGGGCACTAAACCGCAAAAGTAACATGAACGTTGCCACGTGGGAGTAATCAGCTGACCCCTCGGGTCATGTCTTCCCACGACCATCCCCGAACACTTGTCATCGTTGTGGCACATCCCCATTTTGTCCACCATCCATGCCACCCGTGGATCCAGGTGTCTGTGAATTCCCCTGGCAAAGCCGTTCGTCCAAATGGTTTCCATTAGCTGGGCTTCTGGTGCAGATGGCGATGTTGAGTGTCGCCTTAGGGAGCAAACTCTGCGCAATGTTTTGGGGGCCTTGGGTGGAATCCCCTCGCCAGTCATCGACATGACAATGTGATTGAGTCCCTCAGTGTTTGTCGCCGGGAAATTTTCGTGAGTCCCGCTCTCGTCCAGGAAACAGACCAAAGGCCAAATGGGGCATGCTGAAAAAGCACGAGCTTTGGCACATCGTGTCTGACTCCGATATCTGACCATCACCCTTCAGGAAACGGTTTGGATGTGGCTTTTGCACATGCACCCCTGTAGGAATTAATAGAGTCCTAAAATATTATTAAAAAAGCACCAACAGGGGGAACAACAGCGGAACAACAGGTGAAATCCACGAAAAAAAACACATCCAAACCGTTTTCTAGACAACCAATTTCCGATTTTGATAACCCCTGAAAAGCTGGCAATCAGCGGCGGACAGGTCCATGGGATATGGTTGAAGCGGAGGGAGGAAATGAAGCATTTGGCAAGGTCGATTCGAAGTTTCGCACACACACACACACAGAGCCAGAAACACCATCAACACCGCCCCAGGGGGGATTTTCAGGTTGGTAGGGGACCCCTTTTGACTCGCATGAATTTGGGTCGACTCCTTTGATACCAGTGATTATAAGACGAATTTGGAAGTGGGGAACAAGCTCAATCCCCTTTTGGGTTGGCCGGTTTGCAACATCACCACACGCGAGCGCAACACACGCGAGCTTCCTTCCCGCACGTCTTTCGCTTGGAAGCGTTACCCTAGGCACCCTTGGAGCCCGAGGAGGTGCGCCCTCGAGTGTCCGTGCTGCTTTGGGTGGGCCTCTGTGGTTTTGGAGTTGCGGAGAGAAAGGGGTCTCACTTTTTTTCTAGCGGGATTTGAGGGGCAAGAGTTGCGTGCTCACAAGCCATATTTGTCTTTGATGAGCTTGTAAGTGTCTGTGCACATATTTGTCTTTTTCGAATTTTTGCAAGACAAAATCCTCAAGGTCGTCACACTTGGGTTACTTGTTTTGGCCTGCGGCACAGGACTCGCAAGAGTCTGTGCTGTTCGTAGCAACTGCAGCCCCGTACGACACGACTGACAAAAGAATCTGCGGCAATCGTGCACCAAGCAAAACAAACGGTACTGCACTGTTCTTGGCTTGGGTTCTGTTCATTTTTAGTCTGCAGAAATCTTTGTTTTTTCAACCGTACCGGTGTTGTTTCTACCTCTTTTTCTCAAGCACACGTTCAGCACCTGAAGGGTCCCGATCAAGGGGCTGATGAAAGGCTACTTGTGTTGGGCTCCAGGGATGGAGCCTCCCAATAAACCCCTTCAGTGTTTTGTTTGATAACAGTGGACAAGAGCCAAATTCAAACTAGCAAGAGGGGTTAGATGCCCCCATTTCACAATGTGCTGTGTCGAGTCCTGTCATTGAACCGCCAATTGGTAAGAACTGGGCAGGGTCGCAGTTTGGACATTGTTTTGTTGAGGAGTTCCCTTGACACACTTTTGAGCAAGGTGCTTTGAGGGTAAATATTCAGGGAACCCTAGACCTTTTGATGTTCCCTCCCTGAATGGAACCAACTTTTTGGGGGCACGCAGAACATCGTTTGTTTGTTAAAACACTGCTGATGCGGGGGGTGTCGACCACTTCATTCAACAGAGACCGTCAACTTTGAAAAGTGTAATTTTGTAATTCATTTTGCTAAGATTCTTGATGTCATCGAATGACTTTTCAAAAGTCGAGTTTAAACACCGCGACATCTGCTTTTAGTAAGCGGAACAGCATTTATTTCCTGGAGCAGGAGTGACGCTGGAGGTGTCGACCAATTCAGCCTACTAAAACTCTGGTCCTGGTGATGCTGGGGGTGTCGACCACTTTGGTTTGCGGACCAGAAGTGATTATGCTGGCGCTGTCGAGCATTGTGGTCTATAGACCAGAGCGACATCTACCTCTAGTAAGCGGAACAGCATTTTCTTTTTTGAAGCACTGGTCATGCTGGGAGTGTCGACAACTTTGGTTAACAAAGATCCTTAAACACAGACCGTGCCATGTTGGGCTCAAAAAGTGTAATTTCCTAATTCGTTTTATAAATAACTTTGATATCTTTGACTGCTTTTGACGGCTCGCGTTTGGAAACCGCAACTTTTACTTTTGCAGCGAGCTATAATCAAACTACAGAGCATTCTGCCTCCATTAAGGCTTTTTTCGTCGGCAGAACAACTTTTCCTACACCAACGCGCTGGTGATGCTGGAAGTGTCTCAAAAGCAGAATGGGCTTTTCAGGCTCGAACAGTGCAAATCCGTCATTCACTTTTGCAACCAATGTTGAAACTACACGTGCCACGCAGGGGCTCACCCTGGTACTCTATGTTGTTGTTTTTCCATGTTGTTTTTCTTCTTTTTGTTTAAACAGCTTTTTCTGGTTTGGGGTGGGTCGGGGTTCCATATGTACATATATATATATATATATACATACACATACATACACGTACACACATATACACACACATATATATATATATATATACATATATATATATATATGCACATGACGTGATATATGTCCAGCAAACCCACAAGCCATGAGGTCGTTCCAAACGACTCGCGCCAGGCTCCGGCTCCGAGGCCATTGGTTTGGTTTGGTTTGGTTTGGGAATTTGGGCTGAAGATTCAGAAGGTGCCAGCTGGAGGCAATTCTTTTGGGTTTGCTAGCTGTGGGTTTGAGTAGAGATTCAGCTGGAAAGGCGGCGTTGAGAACGGTTCAAGTGCAGGAAAGTGTCACGTAGGCGGGATCAAAGAGCGGGAGATCTGTGTCTTGAAGCTGGAGCTTGTTTTTCGACGGGCAAAGGGTTTCATTGATGCATTGGTGAGGGAGCCAGGGTTTCGGTGCCCGTCCAATGGGGTAAGACTTCGAACAGGAAGAAGAAGAAGAGTGACCCTGCAGCCCGCGCAGCGCGGCGGGTGTGCCGGGGAGAAAGCGGAGAGAGACAAGTCCTGGCGACATGGCAGAGTCTTCCCCCGCAGATAGGTAGTGGACCCCTAAGACTGGTCATTTTGTTTCCTGGTCTTTACCAGCTGCAGACCCCACATTCCTCTCATTTACAGCCAGATTTCCTTTCCAATATTTCCTTGTCGAGGGCTTAACCAGGGTGCAAACCATTTTGCAGGGATTCGGATCACAAGATTCTACTTCAAATGAGCTGACACCACCAAAATTGACAGGATCGTTATCCAGCACTAGACGTACTGGTTGCCAAGCTCGAATGACTGCGAGACTACGTTTCGTTTGCTTTGATGGGTTTCATTACTGTCAAGTTTGAATACGTGGCTTGGGTGTGTTGGATGGTTGGGATGGTTGGGATGGGTTACGTAGCTAAATGCCCATTGCTTAGCAACATGAAGAACGGACGTGGAGCATGGCACCGATGGGTTGTGCAGTTCACAAATTGTAGTCGGACAAAGCCGTATATGTGTATATATATATATATGCACAGGATCATTTTGTTGTTGTTCACACATTCATGAAGGATCCGCCTTTTTTACTTGTATCTTATTGAGTCCTTTTGACTTTTATTCATTCATCACCCCCATTGATTGTCATTCTTGTCCTTGCCGTTGACTGTAGATTCCTTCTGTCGTGCCCACGGCTTTGAGAGATGCAGGGGTTGTCAGAGTCAGAGTCGCTGTCGCTGCTGCCCGGTTGTTTCCCTTCAACCTACCCTCAGTTGCGGGTATCTAAATCCAGGCATCCCATCCAGATTCTCACGTCTCGGCTTTCCCACGGTTTCCGGCGCAACCCATTCATATATACATCTGTTTGTTGCAAACAATGGCAGGGGGACTCTGAAGATGCCCCAAAAAACCGCAGGTATGGAAGCGTCTCCGAGCGGAGAGGAAAGCGGCAGGGTGCTCCAAGACTTTTGCGAGCTCTGGGGTCCGGAAAGACAATGTTAAAGCCACCCCCCCAAAAAAAAGACGTCTGGCATTGTTGAAAGGTGATTTTGGAAACCAGAGGTTATTTTGCTGGCATGCTGGTCTGGGGATTGTGATATAGTGGATGTCAATTAGTTATCAAATAGCTAACCGCATCCAGCAATTGCGGGGTTTCCCTTGTTCCCTACTTGCAATGTCTTCAGCATCCACGGTAGCGAAGAACTGCCTTTGATGACACATTTTTAGCTTGTTCCCCGGGTTGTCAGTTGCTGAAGGGCGTCACAGCATTGGTTGGATCCAACCTCATTCCCGTAGCCCTTTCGGCGTCATGGTGCGTTCCAGCCATGCCAATTTGGAAGCTGTGAAGAGAATACCGCGGAGAAGCCTCTTCAATCACGACGAAAGAGCCACATTGCCATTGACGGCTTTGATCTACTTCGAAAGCAGGCCAAAAAGGAAACACGACTCTTGTCCCTTGAAAAGGGTCCAACTAAAGGAATAGATTCCTCCACAAATGGGGGAAGGAGAAGTCGTCCATTGACTGTGTTCCGCTTTTATAATTTTAGGGACTCAAAAGGGGCCGCCATTGTTGATCTTGGTTCCAAATCACCGAGTTGCCCGCCGGCTTTAGTTGAGCTTTTGGCAGCTGATGCTATCCATGCTAACCCCGTTTTTGGGGCTCCATGTTAATCCAGGAAGGGACATACTTTCTTTTCTGAGTCCTCTCAGCTTGGTTCCCTAGCCCCGAAAGTCGGCAGTGCAGGCTACTCTGGTGTGTTTTGTCGGATCGGACAAATGGAATGTAGATAAGCATACATTATATATATATATATATATATATTGGACCTTTTCGGATAATGTTGGTACTCTTGTAGCCAAGCAACCCATATCGATGGGTGACATCTCCATGACGGTCTCTTCTCAGAAGTTGCTCAGGCAAAGAAGGCGAAACGCAAGGAGGAGGCCAGGGCCCGGTGCCCCAATTCACTTGTGACCAGCTTTATTGGAGGCAGTTTGGAGGGGATGGGTTCCAAGCGATGCGCTTGCAAATTCTGGGCGAACCCATATTTACAAGCAGGTTTGCGTGCGTGCGAGCTTGGTCTTCAGTATCGGGCCGTTTTCTTAAATGTGTGTGTATCTGAAAGCCAAGTTGCCCCCTTCTGGCGCCCGTTAGATTGCGGCACGCTCGGCACTTGTCCGGTGTTGGCAAAACCCAGGACACTGAGGTTTCCCAAACATATTTCTGATGTTTGGGTTCTCGTTTAGTTGAATCTATGCCCTGGCAAGGGGGGGGGGTGGGCGGGAGGCGATAACGCAGAGCCGGCATGGCGACATCGTGGTTTTGTGGCCGTGGCGACGCTCCCGCCGCGGCAACGGGGCTGACGGGGTGGACGGGATTGTTTTGTGGCCGCGCCGTGGGGGTTGGTTCGCCCGCGGCAAGCGTTTGGGGGCCTGCCGCAGTTTTCCGTGTGGCACACCGCAGACCTGCGTCCCGAGTCAAGTGTGGCAGCAAGCGTGTGCGCGTCTGCGTTTTTCGCTCTGTGTCCACGTATGTTTGCAGTGTCGCTTGCGCTGACTTATTTGGCTGTTTGTTTTTGCCGGGTTGTTGGATGTGGGCGAGCTGCGTGGCATAAATCCAGGCGCGAGCACTGCTCGAGTGTCTGCCCGCCGATCCTCGCATCGACTATGTTTCCCACCCTCCGTGCTTTTTCTTTTGCCACTGCATTTTTAGCTGGGAGGGATACGCCGACAGGTGCCGCGCGTATGCTTGTGATCAAGGGCAGACGAAATCCCGCGCAGGTCTGTCCGTGTCACGCAAACGCAGGGCACGTGGCTGGGAATCAAGCGCGCCAGCCACAATCAACATCGGGCCAAAACGTTTGTTGGGAAACACCAACAATTTCAAGATAAAGAGTGCAGCTAGCCCTTACTGGAGTCTGAAAATGTGCTTCAGCAGTGCTCATCAACCAGTGTCCATTTCTGGTGCTCAGAGGTATGGTGAAGTGAAAACTTTTACCATGGCACCACTGATACGCCTTTTCCTTTTTTTGTGTCTTGTTTGGCAGAGGTTGCCTTTTTTTTGTGTTTTGTTTTGGCACAGGTTGGAACAAGTTCCCCCTCCGCAGGTCTTCTCTTCCCAGCCGTCTGGTTTTCTCTGATTTGCAAGGCAAAGAAGCGCCGCGGCCACGGCGCCAACCTGGAGGCGTGGCCAAAGGAAAACAAACCAGGGTGCTGAAGCTGATGATGGTAACAAAATGTGGCTGAAGCTGATGGCTTGATCTGATGGCTTCATCTGATGGCTTCTTTTGAGGGCTTCGTTTGAGGGCTTCATTTGATGGCTTCAGCTGATGGCTTCAGCTGATGGCTTAATCTGAGTGGTGGACAGAATCTTCATGCATTCAAGGGTGCCCCACCAGGCCGCTCGATCCCCAACCTGTGAGCTTTCGTTGCCACCCAACACAATGTCATACAATTGGTTTGTGGCTTGCGCTTAGAGTGCTTGCAATTTTTCAGGGGCATCTGCGGCATCTTGGAGTCACTGAGCAAGTGGAGTTGTTTCTTCTTGTTTTTTTGACAGGATACGCGTGGTCTATACAAGTCCTGTCCGTTACTACAAGAAAACATATGCTAATGACATTTACTAAGTCGTGCGAAAGAGGAAATTCTCGTTTTGCACTGGTGACATCGTGCAACTTTGCTTCTAACATGTTTTGCCAGCGGTGGAAGCTCAAAGTTCAAGCATGGCGACCAGAAAGAAGTGTGGTAAACACTTGATTTGTTGCTGAGCCCATTGTGAAATTTGGCCCCCTCAAGAAATATAAATGAACAACTAAATAAATACATAATAAAGAAGTAAATAAACAAGTAAATAAATGAATAAATAAATGAGCAAATAAATGAATAGATAAATCAACAAATCAATAAACCAATAAGTAAATAAACAAGAAGCAAATAAATAAGTATATATATATATATATATCCATATTTGATTTTGTTTGGCGATTTCCGGCCTGCTGCGCCTCGGGTCTGCATTTTTGCCACCAAATCGATCGGCATTTCCAGTGTCTTTTTTGGGTGGCAGCGACCCGGCTGGCTGGAGCCAACGCCAAGACAAGGCGAAGGCAACTAACGCGCTAAAGCTCGCTTGCTGGTACACAGAGCTGGACGTAATGCCTCCAGCTCATCACAAGGCCCAAGATGTGCATGGTCGGGAATTGCCTTCCCAAAAGTCGAGCGTTGCCAGTCCGGGCGACACAAGTCTTTGAGACATGTTGGTTGTCCCCTCTTTGTTGGTGAGAAAACGCGTCCGTCGCCCCCTCACTCGTGATCGGGTGCTCACGCTCGAATGGCCCGCGCATCCGCGCGAGCGAGGACTTTCTGGTAAGGACCAAGGAGCGCCTTGAGGCGAGGGCTGCAGAGGCAGAAGCCGAGGCGCGGAGTTGGATGGGTGGCACTGCCAGCGGTTCTTGAAATGTGGGACTTCTGCAAGCGGCTGATCGGTTTTCCTTCTGCCTTTTTTCCCTGTTGATAGGTTTTCCGATTTTTGTGTTGCGTTTGCCTTCCAATGTATGTCACAGTTTGCCACTTTGGAGGCCGATGGTCTGCGTTCTACTGGCGTCTAAGCCGCGTGGCTGAGACGATGCTTGCCCAATTGGATCCTGGGCCGTTCAACCTTTGAATGGTCCGACAACGGTCTTCGAACGAGTAATAGCGGGTTCACAATGATATAGCCAAACAACAGTAGCAATGCTACCAACTACTAAGCATGATAAGAAGAGTAATCACCAGAAGGCAAACGGTAAAGACAATAATCACCATCAACACACTGATAATCAGCATCACTATCATCATAACACAATCAGAAAAAAAGGACACCAAACCACCGTGGCCCCGGGTGGGAGGCGGCGGCATTGCTGGTGGCGCCAAAGAGGGGCGCCTCAGGCGGGGTTTTTGGGGTGAGAAGTTCCTCCCCACAAGGCGGTTGTGAGTTTGGGGAATTTCAGGGGCGGTTTTCAGCTTGAGAGTTGTTGGAGTTTTGGGAGTTCTACGGGTTTGCTGCTTTCGGAACTTCGATCGCTTTAGGGGTTGTGAGGTTGTGAGGTCTTTTGGAGGTTCTGGAAGCTGGTTGGTTTCGGAGTTTAGAGTCCCTTGTGCTCAAGGGGATTTGCGTTTCCGGTCATAAGTTGCTTGGAAGGTTTTGCCAGTCTTTGTCTGGTTTTGATGTTTCGCAGTTTTCGAAGCCCCGCAACACCACACACCTCAAAACTGTAAACACACTTCCGAAACCCTCCAACAACTCTCAGGCAGGAACACACGTAACACCTGCAAACACAAGACTCCGAACATCTGAAAACTCTTAAAACTGAAAACACCAATCAGCTTTCAGAGCTTCCCACACTCTGATATCCCTCGAAAATTTCCGAACTCCGCAAACTCCTAACACCGCCTGAGCATTATGAGTTGAAATCGAGGTGCTCTGGGGTGCTAGTCATGCGGCGCGTTGACACAATGCCAGTCCTTTCTTGGAGCCCAGGATTAAAGGCAGAACCGCACAACAAATCTTTGGCTGCAGCTAAAGGTGGCTGGCTAGTGTCTAACTCTGAAACAAGCCTGCGGTAGCCTGAACAGGTGATGTGCATGGCTTTGTCCAGAAAACCCGGGAGCGATTGGTCGAGCAGGCGGGAAGTGGAGAAGGGCTTTCAGCGGACACGTTTCGTGTGCGGGGGAGGGATGGGGGGGGTGGGGGTTAACTGGGATCCTGATGAGGATCCTTTACTTAGGGGCATTCCTCAATTCGGGTTTTTTGAACTCCAGTAACAAGTGCAGTCTTCTGCCATTTGCCGGGGGGGGGGGGATGCTAGGGGAGCTGAAGTGAAAGATATCATTTATGGGTCAAACTGGGCCCCCGCCTTGAGAAACGCGGGTTCATCTTGGTCTCTTTTTTCAGCGGCGACAGCTTTGAGCCTTAGCCAAGCCCGTTGTTGGGAATGGTTTTTGGCCTATGCTGTTGGGGATATGTTCTAGAGACAGAAATGCATCGACCGCCCGACCAAGACCCCAAACAGCGGAGGTGCAGGCGGAGCGAGCGGCGCTGAGGGCGCGCCAAGCCAAGGCGCAACTCGTTGGGGTGGGAAGTTTGTTGGCGCGTTGGAAGTTTGTTCTTTGGTAGGGATTCCTGAAAAGACAAAGATACCCGGAGCAAGTTGGGTTGACGTCATTAGTGGCCAAAGGAACCCTTGTCAAGGTGTGCAGTCGTGGTATCACAGAGAGCCCACAGCCGCAAGCTACACCTTGGGCTGTTCAAAGCCAACCTTTCAAACTTTGATTTGAGTCTTTTCTGAACAACTAGCTTCTTTGGGCTAGTCCAGAGGGATAGAAAGGGACACAGACCTTTCCGAGCGTTCTCTCATATTATATTTACTATTAAGATCCAATTTTGTCGTGGTCGTGGTCTTTGTCGTCTTGGTTGGGGTCGTCGTTTTTTTTTTTGGTCGGTGTGGCTGTCATAGTTGTGGTTGTTGTAGCAAGTCTTTTGACACTTAAGGAGTGATCAGCTTTTAAGCTTGTCCGTACATATGATTACGCTCTCATCTACCGGCAATCCATTAGGCAGGATCATGGTCGTCCAAGGGGGTTGTCTCAGGTTCCATGATTGTTGACTATTCTCTTGCCCACAACCGACCTTTTGACCTTTTTGTTTTCCAGCTTTGATCTACGTTAGGCACGGCGATTGCAATCCTCTTAGAGTTGAACTTTTTGGGCAATTACCACCATTGTCGCTTGGGCCCATGCTGGCGGTGGAGCAATGGCCGGTCCAATCAGCCACCTCACCATGCTCTGGGTTGGTAAATGACCGAACATTGTACTGTACTTTCACCCGGCTCATTCAAGCTTTTGCATCCATTTTTTCCTTTAGGCAATTTTTGCTTGGGCGATGTTGCAACGGGTTGTGCCTCATCACCTTTGGACTAGTGTCTTGTTTTGTGTATGGGAAAACATGTTGAAGGGACATGTAAACAGCCCTGCACCGTGCCACTTGGAAGGGCGGTGAATTCTCAAAAAGCGAAGGCAAATGAATGAACTACATAAAATGAACTACCAGGCAATCCGTTTACCTACCCATGGTCTTTGCAGATTTTGCAACGTGGAATTGTGGAATTGCCGATTTCCTCCTGTGCTGCACAGAATCCGTTTGCCCACCATTGTTTTTACAGATTGGGCATGCAGTTGCCGACACATCCTCCTTTCACCATGGACACCGCGCGTGTTTGTTGTGCATTGGGAATCTTCAAGGCGCCCCGCTGTTTTGGGGTCCGAGCGATCGCTACCGAAGCAAAGGGCGCCACGAAATGCGTGGTTGATACCTCCGAGATACCGACCAAATGTAAGCGCTTCGTCCCCCTCGGCCAGCGTGGTTTTGATTTTTTTGGCTGGCTTTGAGGTGCTGCGGTTTGGTTTGCATTGAAGTGTTGTGTTTGTTTGAGTGCACCGAAATGCGTGAGTTGAGAGCTACAGAAGGGCAGGGGACTGGGGAATTTGAGGCCGGTAATTTGGGGTTCTAGGGGGGAATTGACAGTTTGCAGGCCACTGGGGAGTTTGACCGGTTTCTGGAGGATTTTCACCGGTTTTTTAAGGGGAGTTGTGCCTTTTTTTTGACTGGACTGGCTTCGCGGTCTTGGCTCTCGAGGGGTTGGAGGCAACAGCATGGGTTTGGGTTTGGCGACATGGGGAGGGGTCGGATGGCAGGCTTGACAATGTGGATATGCAAGTCAAATTGTGAATACATATGTTTTGACATATACACATATTAAACAAGTTATGCAAGTTCAGAGTGAACATTGGAATGTTAAACCAGTCAGAACAACACCTCTTCCGAAAAACATCCGTCTTTGATGTCGCCCGAAAGCAGCACGGCGGGTGCCGAGGTTTCTTTCGGCTTTCTTAAAGCTAGGTTCCCATGTTACCAGACACAGATCCAAACATACCATTGGTGAGGGTCCCTTTATTCAGCGTTAGATTCATCTGGGGATATCTGGGCAAATTGTCCACTTCAGAGTCTGCCAAGTGGAGCTATCCAGAGTCGGCTGGTTACACTCGTTTTATCTAATGTGCCCTGGTGAGCTACCACCCCTCAGCCATGGTCCAGCGACGCTCGTGTCAATAGATATCACCCTTTGTCACCAACTGCAAGGTGTTGGGGGCAACTTTAAGGCCAGAACTACTCGGAAATGGGTGAAAGGATTTGTGGTGCAAGCCTATTGGTTTGATACTTATTGCCTTTACCTCTTGTTTCTTTTGACTCAATCCGTCTTGGCATTCCGATATCCAACCTCTCCTACGTGGCAGTTTTCCGAACACCCAAACCAAGCTGCATGGGTAAGGTATGATGGACAGGCAACCACCAGCTTGATAAATCTTGGTTTCTGGCAATGGTCATGTTTCCAGCAGGCTTTCCCTCTTCCGCTGGCCTTGTGGTTCTGAAAGGGTGTTGCAAAGCCTCCTCTTAGTGAGGATTCTTCCAGAGGGGTGGCCTTGGGACAAATCAAGGGCACTGGGGTCCGATATTGGGTCTTTCTTGTCTTGCTGGTGCGATAGGGAATGACCTTCCGGGTGTTGGGAATGAACTGGAACGGGATTCCCTTAAAGGAAATCAAGTCGGGGATGTTTTTCCCCAACAGCTGAAAGCTTTGGGGTCTCAGCCCAGATAGGCTCCGGGGTGGTGCGGGGCGGCCCTGAGGTAAGGTTCCACGAGGGTTCCACCAGGGTTTGCCCAGGGTTCCATGAGGGTTCCACGAGGTTCTGCGAGGGCTGCGGGGTGGTGCGAGCACTAAAAAGAGCATCGCATGCTGCTGGGGATATCACCTGAGCTTATTTTTTTTTCCTCGGGGTCCTTCATTTCCTGATGGCACCAACGAGCTTTTGAGGCTGCGGCCGCCGCCGCAGGTGCTGACTTGGATGCCTTCCGCCAGCAGTGCGAGGCCGAGTCAGGGTGCCAAGGGACAGTTTTGGGCCAACCTGACGAGAAACCCCCAGGATGCGGCGGTTTCCGTTTGGTTTCCCGCCGGAGCCAACATAAGTCAGAAGATGGAGGTCCCTTTGGAGGAAACAACAATATCTTTGTGTTCAGACCTCAAAGTAGAAGTATGACAGTTCGGTTAAGCTCTAGGGCTAGGTGCCCCTTGTTTGAGGCCATAGGTCAGATAGCGCGTGCTGCCGTTGGTTAGATCCCTTCGCTCTCCGAGACCCATGTGTGTGTGTGACAGTGTGTGTGTGTGTGACAACTTTTACTTCCGCAGCAATTCGCAAAGCCTCGCACTGGCCCCTTAGGGTCGCAAAGAGGAACCATACAGGCAAGACAGGGTGATGCCAGTGGCACAGTCGCTGTGGCAAGAGTTGGCCATATGTCTTCGGATTTATAGATTGAGACTAAGCTTTAACTTGCTGGGACAAGGACAAGCCGTTCTATCTCTTAATACGACCATTTGCATGGTCCCAGTCGAAGAGGGGATCTGGCGAGCTGCGCACTTGCAGACTCGCGCTTACGGTTGCGTGTGCGGGGCCGAGTCGGCCTTGCTGAACAACTCCCTGTGTATTTGGTGTTCAAGAGAGGATCGCAAGCGAACACGGAATCTGCAGGTCATCACCGCATATTGTTTGCCAGATCAACAGACTGACTTGAAGGTGGATCCTTTAAATGGGACGACACCCCTTCAAAACGGGGCCAGTTCATTGGTTAATGTTACCACTAGTCCAAGCTTGATTTGGGAAGGCACCAACCTGTCCTGTGGTCGCCCAGTTGAATCACTCAATATTTTGAGCTGAACAAGGGACAAGATGCCACTCACACGGCAGCTCTTTAGCAGTGGGCTGGAGTTTGTCAAGATGCAGAAGAATTGCCAAAATGCAACTTTTCAGTTGAAGAGGAAAGAAGGCAGGAAGAAAGCCCAAATGCACAATGTCCTCTCTGACATACCCACAGAACCTACGTAATTTGGACAAGTTAGGCGCAGCCTTTAAACAAGCTATGGGTGTTGAGCTTCAAGAGCCCTTTTACCAAAATCAGCCATTCCCTGTTGTTTTCGTGGACCAAGAAGGAACTCGTTTTCCTGCCATGGTGGGAATTCAATGACACCTGTTCAGGTGAGGGAGGCGAGGGTTTCGATTTTTATGATGTAAGAGTGGTTGCACATGAGCCACTCTCAACCAAACCTCTTCCGCTAAATCCTAGCAGCGAATCACGCACAGAAATTTAAGACCTTTGGGACGAAATCTGAACTGCCAACGTTCTTTGGGCTTTCCTCAAAGCTTCTATGGCCACAAATCCGGCTGTCACCCTAGCGAGTCTCTGATTTGAAAGAGGGCTGCCCTAAGAGGCGATACTTGAGCATTGCTGGTCAAGGAAATGGGCTTCGCGGAAGCGAAAAGAGAAGAGGTTGCACCTCCGAAAAGTACCGAGCAGGCCCTTCTAACACTTTACTCTTCTTGCATCACGCTCTTTTCCTCCTTTTTCCCCCTTTGTTTCTCCGGCCCTGTGTATTTGAAGCTGGGCGGCAAAAAGCAACCGCCGGTGTTTTTGCAACCACACCGCTTGGGAGGAAAACTCGAGCGGCTGCTCGCCAGGCCCGCCTGGCTCAGCGCCTGTTGGCGGGCATGCCCCAGGCCGGAGGAGGTTGTTTTGCCGGTTAAGAAGTCAGAGTCTGGTTTTCAAAATCCCCCCCCCCCAAAAAAAAAACACCGGCACTTTGGGGGGTTGACTGGAAAGAATGGTGTGCGTTTTCAACCATTTTCAAATGCCTGCCACTTTGGGGTTGACTTGGACGAAAAAGGGGCGTTCGCTTCTGCCGGGATCTGAAAAAACAGCATCTGGATCGCCGATCAGGAAAATTTGGTGCGGAACAGTGACACGCGCTTTTTTTTTGTCACGCCCATTTGTTCCATTTGGTTTGCCTTTGAAGCCCGTGAAGACCATAATTGTCACCACAAATGGGGTAGCGTCAGCGCCGCGGTTCGTGTTTCGAAGTCGGCCGGCTTTAGTTGATGCAGTCGCCCACACCGTCTGACAAGCTGGCAACTTGAAGGTCTGTAAGATCTTGTCACAGCTGCGGTGGGGCGCTCGAACCCAACTTACGACTGACCACCATGAGAATACCTCACCTAAATCCTGGTCGCTTAGGGGTTGACCAGTGCTGGAATGAGGAATTGATACAAACGCAAGCTCCTTTCCCTCAGGTTTCCCGGGGAAGAGAGCCGAAGGGTACCACCGCGTGCAGCTTCAAAAGGGCTGCCTGTGGTTGGAGTTTCCTTCCCTGAACCTTGGGCCCCCAAGAAACAAGCTGTTGCGGAGATCAATATCGCTGCCCAACCTAGATTGATGTTTGATATCCAAGTTAGCTCCAGTCCCAGTTTTTGGTGAACGTCAAGCAGCTTTCACACAAACACATAAAACAGTGTTGAACAGGGATCGTGTTGTTTTGTGAGGGTACTGCAGCAGGGTTGGCTTCTTGTCCCTTTGGCCCCCAAGCTTGTGTGGGGGGGGGGCCAACAGGCAACCCGATCGCCAGTTTCTTGGGGCCTTGCCCGCCGACTGTGCTGATCAATGACCAACACCTTGCGCAAATTCTGGTTGTCCCCACCCCAAAGCAAAGCAACTCTAGATGACTACATCGACAAACAAAGTGCACAACCCGGGAGCCATTTTGTTTGAGCGTGGGAGGTGAAGACCGGTCTGGTGGAGGCTGAGGCCGTGCTGGGTGGGAGGGCTTGCCCGTCAACGGCCCTAAAATGGGAATTGGGACTTGACACGAGCAGCCCATTGCAGTGAAATCTCCTGCCTGGAAGTGACAAACCTTATCCTTTGAGGCTCGGATGCGCTGCGCTTCTAGTTTGGATGCGCTTCTCCATTGCCTTGCCATGCGCAAGCTTGGGACCGCTCCCGGGCCAAAGCCACACTGCTTCCCGAACCTTCTCTCAACTCCTCCACTTTCTGGGTGTGATTCCTCCTCAGGTGGCGTGCGATCTTCCAGTTGGGGCAAATCCACAAGCTTTTGTCCTTCGTATTGGCCCTGTCCTCCTTCGTCCTGCCTGAGGCCTCCCTTTCCTCCGGGCCATAATTGACCAATGGGTCCAGTTGAGACCACTCCGCCTGCCGCTCCTCAGCCTCCTCCAAGGTCGTTGCAGGTGTGGCCTCCGTGGCTTTGTCAGGTGTCCCGTGTTCACCTCCGGTAACCGCATGTACTCGTAGTGACTTTCTCATTGGCCCTCGCATGCTCGATCTCGCGATAGGAATTGGCCAGCATGAAACGTAACACTCGCCATCCGCAGTCGACAAGGGTGGTCTCACGCGGGAACCCGGGGTGGTGTCCTGGTGTCCAAAGTCGTTGTTACGCTTCTCTTCAGCTTTGCCATAGAATTGGTCGTGTGTCCCCCACCTAGAAACGTGACAACTTAACTCCCTCCTCCTGCATTTTACAGCTTTTTGTCCATCTCCTCACCAAGATCCAGTGCGTTTGCTCCCCGATCTTCAGGTCGTAGGCCAGGCAATCCTCAGAGTCCTTCAGGTGGCCCTGGAAAACCCATTGTCTATTGCTTTGGCCCCGACTGTGGGATGCCACAGGCTTCCTACGCTCTCCAACAGCCTCGTCAGGTACTTTGAGGTTCCCCCATTTTCTTTTGATCTCCATGTCACCTCCGGCAAGCTGGGAATGTCCCTCTCTGCAACTCAACTTCAAGATCTCGCCCATCCTTGACATGCAGCTAGCCACTGAATAGCCCAGTATTGACACATGCAGTACCTTTCTTTTGGTAAATCCCCCACATATACATGATGTCTCCAAACGGTCGCCCCTTTGAACTTCTTTACCCAAATCCTGGGTGATTTGATTCTGGGATGCTTCATGATGCTTCGCCCAGGCTCTACTTGCTCAAAGTCAGTGAGGGAACCCGCGAAGCAAGGTCCTCACCTCTGAACGGGAAAGCCTGTGCTCCCTTCAAATTCAATTCATACTCCGGCTTCTCCAGAATGATTTTCCTCGTGCCTTCTCCAGGAACTCCAGAACGGTGGTCTTTTTCACCGTCGTCTGGGTCCTCGCTCACCTCCAGTGACTCCGTCTGCCAGGCAGCCTCCCTCGCGGCAGTCCGTGGCCCTTTCCCTCAGACGAACAGCCGGAAGCTCCCCCAATTGGCCTGCAAATGGAAAGTCTTCCCGAGTCTTGGGAGCTTCTATGTTAGACTGGGGGAGGGCACCTTCGTTCCCTTCCCCGTTCGCCTGAGTCGTCTCCTTCCTGTTCGCCTCCACAAGCTTCGTGTGGAAAGATGTTCCATCGCTTGGCTGCTGTTGCTGTGGCTGCTCTCATCCTCTTTGAAGGATGGACTTCCCAGCGCTTCGACCAACTCGCGGATCTTCCCGTTCTTAGTGGTATGTGAGACACCCGCTCCTTTTCTCGAATCATTTGACAACTTTCCGCATGCGATGCAGCTCCCCTCAAATCAAGATGTCGTGCTTCGCACCTCACCGGGATCCACAGGGAGGTTGACTCTTTCACCCTCCTTCGCAGGAGTCCCTGGTGCCATGCCTTGGAAGGCTGTCAGGTCGGACGGCGCCCCAATTTCCTTTGCGGGTCATAGCATGTAGGATGTGGTTGTTTCGCTTGCTTCATATTTAGTTGGGATCCCGCCACGTGACCCATTCTCGAGGTTGGGTTTCTTTCAATTTGCCTCCAAAAAGAACACCCACCAAAAAAAGGGTCAGTCCACCTATTCTCGCACATAAAGGTGGGTTGGGAGAAGGGGCCCCTGCCCATTCAAGTCGTGCTGCCAGGGCGGCACGGGCTTCTTCCGCCGCAAGATCTGCATCGTGGGCGCCGGGCGGCCCAGCGCTTCGAACATCAGGAGCGCTTTTTGAGTTTGGCTTGAACCGTCCACGCTATCCATCCCAGCCGTCCCATCCCATCCCATCCCGTCTCGTCCATCCAGGGCGTTGCCCTGGGAGAATTCGCCGGACTCACGTCCGTTCGCAGGCTGGGCCGGTCGGCTTGTGGGCCGCAATGCTGTTGGCGCAGAAGGACGGGTTTGGGGGGTGAGACGGACCGGAGTTTCGATGTGGCGATTGGTGACGGCTTTGTGTGAGTTTTTTTTTTTCTCCGAACTTTGGGTGTTAGGTGGATGTTCCGCGCTTGGAGTACGTCGCCCTCGTATTCACGGCCTTTCGAAGCTTAGTGCTGCTTACTACGGCAGGCCTTTTGAAGGGAGACCCGCGTATCCCATGATGAAGGTCCGTGCTAGAAGATCCCTTAACAGCCTAAACATAGTTTTGCTTCGGCTATGTTGAGGTGGTATCATTAAGTTGGTCCGTTGCTAGAGGCAAAACAAAGTTGCTTTTGGCTTAAACTTCTTGATGGGGTGGATATCTGCTTCCAAAGCCGGACATTGAGTTATACTCTTCACGGACCGTATTTTGTCAAGCAGATGCAGTATTTCCCCTCCCAACCGCTTGGGTGCGGTTTCTTGCTGTTGCGAGAGCTTTCCGGTGTGGGTGTCCCGGAAATTCCTTGCCCGCAGTACCGGTGGACAGACCCCTCGGGCTGCGCTCGCCTGCGCCCGGATGCCCCGCAGCTGGCTGGGGCCTCGGCTCAAGCATCCCTCTCAGCTGTCACGGGGATTGGGAACCCATTTTTCCAGGCGGTTTCCTTTTGGTTTCCTTGTAAAAGCATCCAAAAAGGGGTCCCCCATTTTGAGACGCACCCTGTTTGTATGCGTGTAGATATGCGCATAATATGCGCATATCTATGTATATGTAGATCCATGTGTATGCGTAGATGTATATATATATATATATATATATGCGTACACACACAGAGGCATGTCAAGCTTTGTAGATCTACCTATCTACCCATTTGTTGATCTATCCACCTATCCATCTATTTGTTTGGCTGCCTGTCAGCACACCGACCAGTGTCTGCCTGTCTCTGCCTGTCTCTGTCTGTCTCTGTCTGTCTCTGTCTGTCTCTGCCTGTCTTGTTTGTTTGTTTGTTTGTTTGTTTGTTTGTTTGTTTGTTGTTTGTTTGTTTGTTTGTTTGTTTGTTTGTTTGTTTGTTTGTCTGTTTGTGTCACAAATTCACTTATATGCATTTACATGTGTACACGTTCACTCGTTTACCCATGTACACATATTCACATACACCCATTTACGCATACAGGCATGCATGCATGTAAGCATTACACAAATCACGCCAAATATATGTTGTTTGTTGATTCGTCATTGCCATCTTATTTGGATTGTTTGGCTTGTTTGGCTCGTTCGGTTTGTTTGTTTGTTTGTCTGTCTGTTTGTTTGTTTGTTTGTTTGCTGGCTTGCTGGCTTGCTTGCTTGCTTGCTTGCTCGCTTGCTTGCTTGCTGGCTTTCTTGCCTGCTATTTGTTTGTTTGTTTGTTTGTTTGTCGATTTGCGATTCTTGTTTTCTTGATTGACTCGTTTCCTATATGTCAGGGTCTTCGTTCGTGCACCAACTTTTGATTTGACCATCTTTCCCGTATATGCATGCGTATTCATGCCGCATATGCGTAGACGTTCCGGTTCCGGAGCTTTGGGGGCCAGACAGCCCCACGCGGATCTTTGGAACCTTTGGACACCTGGAAAGCAGCTGCCTTGCAGCAAGCAGTACAATGAATTCCCGACAAACAAGGCACATATGAACCAACCATATCCAACGCACACACACACGCACACAAATATATGCGCGTGTGGTGCAAAAGCCTGGTACATTGCGGTAAGCCACCATGGTGCATCTTGCAGTAGTTAGGGCTGTTTGGGCATCCGACGTACCACCGCTTCCAGGGCTACTTGGGCATGCCAACTGTTTGCGTTTTGAACAAAAACGGGTCGGCAGAGAGCTGAGGGAGGTAACAGCATGCTTACGATGCGTTTCGGCACATGAAGGACATGCAGCTTCACAGAGGATTACATCCGCGCTTGAAGTTCTCTCCAGCGCTTGCAACGATATACTGGTTTTGGGGACTGCCCTTTTCTGTGGGGGGCGTGGGTCACAGGTAGGGGCCTCGTGTTTTCTCTTTCGGGAGCTTCTCGTTGATGTCATTTGTGTTGTCTTTGGGCCAGGGGCGGATTCGGAGCCCATGCCTCCCTGCAGTCGCAATTCTGGCAGCCACGCTACCTGCCGGACTTCTCATTTTCCCTTGGAAGGGTCAACCATGAAAGGTTTATGACCAATTGACAAGGCTTCCAACTTAAGTGTGCTTGATCTTTGGGTGTTACATCTTCGGACATTCTCCCAGTGCGTTCAGGTTTTGCTGGAAGCCAGGCCGGGTGTGCTCAATGACGTCGAAAGAAGGGCTGCGGATGTGGACTTGACCGGCGAAGGTTTCATGTGGGTATGTGCCAAAATCAGGGGCCCTTCTTTTTGGCCTATTTGGAAGCAAACCAACATGCTTCATCTCGCCGTGAGCTGGTTCCACTGCGAACGCAAGGCCACTGTGCCCAACACTGTTGTGACTTCGGATGCCAGGTCTGCTGAGAGCCATTGCAGCCGCACGGACATCAGGATGCCGACATGAGCCATGAGCTGGGGGAGCTACGGCTTGCTCCGAGTTTCTGAAGGATGACCAACCCCATATCCCCCCAGGTCAACCAATTGGTTTGGTTTCAGATTTGGTTTGCCTTTAAGTTTGGGAGCAATAAGGAGCCAGAGGTCTGCTAGAGTCCTCCCATCCTCTGTTACAGGTTTGTTGGGGATGGCGCACCCACCCACACCTCGAATATTCTTTGCCCCTGGACCAGTATCCCTCATGCTTTTGATTATTGAGGGGCCTTTCAATTGACCATGGTTTCTTATTTGTCCCTTTGGGATGTTTTGGTGACTTTGAATGTTGCATTGAACCTACAAGTGAACGATGTTTTGCTCATTGGGGGGGGGGGAGCCACTCAAGCACTTTTACACCCACATGCCGCCATGCCTCCATCGGATGCAAGCTTCTGATAGGGCGTACGGGATGAGGAGTTCACGGTGACTCCATTTCCTCAAGAATCATGGTAGATTCCTCAGCAAGCAGGTTGCCCAACGGGATCTCGGGAGAGTCTGTGCAGGATTGCCTTGTCGTCCTCCACGCGGGCCATGTGTGTGCCTCATAGCGATGCCGTGGTTGTGGCGCCGTCCTGTGTCCAGCTTGGTCGTGACTCGTGACGTTCCTTTTCGTGGGCAGATTGATACAGATCCAAAGGGCAAGATCGGCGTTCCTCGTTTCGAGACAATGGCGCTTTGCCATAGGTCCTATGTTCTAAGGCGAGAAACACACGGAGAAGCAGAGTCATACGAGACGGGGTCAACCACTTCTTTTTGTTCAAATATCACGAACGCATCCCATCCAAGGTTTTTGTGCATTCCAATAGATCACAGGAACATTTTGATCATGGCTTACATGAAGCTCAGTCAATTTACCGTGCCAAGCATGACAATGAGGCCAAGGCAGAGACACGTGACAAACGGTTTGAGCATGTGCGGCCTCATGTCCATCGTATCTCCAACACGAAGTTGAGACGGTAGGAGGAATATCTATCTGAAGGAAGTTAGCCAAACAAGAGCAAGTTAGCCACCTGTTAGATCTATTGAAAGTTGGCCATCATGGTTAGAGGAAGCTAGCAGAGCAACGGTGAGACAATTCTACGATTGTACAGGAAGTTAACCACAATACGCAGGACGTTAGCCGAGCAACATTTAGAGGAAGTTCTCAACCCCCGAGATATCTCAATTAATCACCACCTAAACTGTAGACCGAATGTTTGGCCAACTTCCTCTAAGCGTTTGGCTCACTTCGTGTCGAGTTCTAGAATCTATTCTATTCTGCCCTTGTGTTCGGGTCCCTCAGGCTATCATGGAAGCTCCCGGCCAGGCCTCTGTAAATGGAACCAAGTGTTTTAAAGGGGTCCTAGCTTCCATGTTAGTCTGGGGGAGGGTAAGTGTTGATGAATCTAGAAGAACTCTTTTTCAGTGAATTTCCGTAGAGCCAGGAGCCCAGGCCCAAAGCTGAGGCTGGACCAACAGACGCGCTCTCGCAGCTTCAGCTCAGGCATGCCCGTGGCGGAGATTGAGGCGGGGATTGGTTTTTTGACACGGGGGAGGTCGATTTCATGAGAAGCTCTGAATTTCAATAGGGACCCCTTGGAACATCATTGGCATAGCCATGTTTTTCATGTTGTGGGCGAGGCTGTTGGGGCAACTTCCAGCATTGGGCAGTTTTCTTGACTATAGTATACTTTCAGTTGGCTTAGGGACACTAGGAGTTTGTTTCCAGTTGTTTCGCGCGGTTAGATAGACATTGGTCAGTTGTATAGGGGGAGTTACCATTTCTCTCGTTTGGTGACTGGCTTCGATTCGTTTACTTGCTGAAACGGAACCTCTGTTTGTTGTTTGTTGTTTGCTGGCTTTTTCCAAGTGTTGATCAGTTGTTCGAGGGGAGCTTTGTTTTGTCCTGTAGTTTGGCGAGGCATTGACTTTCATGTTGACTTTTTGTGCGAACTTCCAGTTTTGTTCCTGTGGGTTGGGTTTGAAGACTTCAACCTTTGTCAGTTGTATTTTGGGGCTTCCACTTGTTTGCGATTGTTTGTTTTGCTCCGGTTTTCCTGTGGTTTTCGTGTGCTTCAGAAACATCTCTTCCCCCAACCGCTGGAATCTGCAGGGTCTTTGCCCAAGGCTTCGGAGTGGTTCGGTGGCTGCGGGCTAGGTTTCCAGAAGGGTTCCGGGGGCTGTTGGGGAACCTGGACTTATTTCAGTTGTCTGATCTTTCTGGTCTTTTGATTGTTTTGTGGTTTCTTGTGCTTACTGGCAAGACTTGCCCAAGGGGTTTGAATAGGGAATCGGTCTTCACTGGCAAGCAGCTCATGTTCGGCGCCAAAATCTGGTCTGCCTATGGGATTGGACCCCGAGGAATGGTGAGTTTCCCTTGCTTAAGCCATCTAGAGGTTTGGCTACCTTGGAAACATCCTGCCGCAACGCATATGAGTTATGGGGCAGAAGGGTAACGAAAAGCAAGCAGAAACAATGCACGCTTACTTGAGATCAGCTTGTTCTCAACTTCTTTTCATTTCAGGCACCAAGCATCCCAGGTCAATTTGATTCCACTTTGAAGGCCAGTGACAAGCATGGGAAACTGAGCAGTGCGGAAAAAATGTAAATAGAATTCTCCTTCAGGGGCTAAGAACTTCGGATTGCTAGTGCTAGGTGAGATTTCGTTGGATGCCTTGATGCTTGGGACGATGTCTTACCTTTTTTTATGTCGGCACCTGCCTTCCGCCGGGTTTCTTCATCGTTCGATTCACTTTTTCCGGTCTCAACGGCCCGCAGAGAGGAACAATGCTTTGGGCCTGGTAGAGAGGCAGGTCTCAGATGTTTGCCACTCCGACTCCAGCGCTTTGGCCGGCGCTTTGGCCGAAGCCACTCCTAACACTCATGAGTTTGGCTGGTATTGGTCATTTCCCTTAAACCTACTTGCTTCAGAACATCTTTGAACCTGGCAACCTGCGACTTGGACAGTTTATTGTAAACGCTTCGCGTTGCCCGCCTCGGCCCAGCCTAGTTTGAGGGAAGGGTCAGGAACACCGAAATCCAGTGTTGGGAAGGTCCGAATACCTGAAGCTGGCTCCAGACAAGTCAGACAAGCCGGCCTCGCCTGGTTGGGCTGGGCCACAGGCTAGTCTCAGACACATCAGATAAGCCTGCGCTGGGCCTGAAGCTAGTCTCGGGCAGCTTGGCTGGACCTTGCTTGCGTGGGTTGTTGGTTGAGCTGAAGCTAGTTTACGGCGGGCTGGGCAGCCGCACTGAGGGGGCTGGGCTATGGCTGGGCTGGGCCTGAGGCCAGTTTCAGACACGTCAGACAGGCCTGGCCAGCAGGCGGACTGGGCTGGGCTAGACGCTAGTTGAGCCCAGGCTGGTGAGGCCCAGTCTCGGCGCTAGATAGGCTGAGGCCTGCGAGTCTCAAACCGGGTGGGCTTGGGTGGGGTTGGCTTAGGCGGGTTGCTGGTTGGGCTGGGCCTGAAGCTAGTCTCAGCCACGAGGCTGCGAAGCCATGGGTGGTGCTGGGCAGCTGGATTATGGTGTTGGTTGCGCCTGGAACTTCGGCTGGCTGGGCTGAGCTGTGCTTGGGCGGGTCGCTGGATGGGCTGAGGCTGGGTAGCGAGTTGCTGGCTAGGCTGGGCCTGAGGCCAGTCGCAGACACGTAAGACACGCCAGCAGGCGGGCTGAGGGACTGGGCCTGAGGCTAGTCTCAGGCTGGCATACCTTGAGACCGGTCTCAGACTGCGCCGAAGGGGCCTGGTCAGCCTGGGCTGCTGAGTAGCTGGCATAGCTTGAGACCAGTCTCAGATACGTGAGACTGGTCGTTGGCCTGAGGCCAGTCTCAGACACGTTAGACAAACCTGACCTTGGCACACTGGGCTGAGCTGGTGGGCTGGGAGCTGGGGGCGGGTAGTGGCTGGCATGCCCTGAGATGCGCTGGGGCCTGGGCTGGGCAGGCTTTGGGCTGGGCCTGAAGCTAGTCTCAGCCACGAGGCTGCGAAGCCATGGGTGGGTTGCTGGCTGCCGGGCAGCCGGACCAGCCTGGAACTTGGGCTGGGCGGGCTGGGCTGAGCTGTGCTTGGGCGGGTTGCTGGATGGGCAAGGCCTGTTTCATACACACTTGGGCCTGAGGCTGGGTGGCGAGTTGGCTGGGGCCTGCTGGATGACTTGGGGCCAGACGCGAGCAGGAGGTCAAGGCCTGGCCAGCCTGGGCTGAGTTGCTTGGGCAGCCGGACTGAGGGGCTGGCATAGCTTGAGACCAGTTTCATGGATGACTTAGCAGGCGGGTTTCTGGTTGGGCTGGGCCAGCACATTTTCGACAAAAATGGACCCATGGAGCTGGACGCCGACGAACCCCGAAAATTTCAAGGCCCGCCGGTCCAGCCGACATGGGTGGGGGGGGGGGGGGGGCGGCCCGTGGTTCTCTTTGGAGAAGAGATCTGAGCGCCCTTGGCCCCTTTGGGGCCGAGGCGAATTTTGGAGCCTCAGGTTGTTTTTGGCTCAACTGTTGGCTAGGCGGGGCATGCCAAGCTCACGGCCCTTTCCGACTCTCAGGAGGCCTTCCTGCGGCGCTGGCGGAAGCTGGCAGGGTCGGAGGCCAAAATCCTCTACGACACCTCGGTGCAGGAGACGAAATCGGATCTCCGGGAGATGAGAAATCAAGATGAATCAGCTAGTGGGAGGGAGCCAAGGAGCAGATTTTATTTTTCAAGAGGGAGCTCAGGAGCTGACAGGAGTTCTGCAAGGACATGGTAGCCAGGGCAACTTCTTGTGAGGGAAACATGATATTGTCACTGAACAAGTGCATGGCAAAGAAAAGGCACCCCCCCACAATGTCTGGCGGATGAACAGGGGCCTTGTTTGTCCCTTCTGATGTTCGAAGGAGACACATGGTTGGTCCCAAGAGTGATGTGCACTCTTCGAATGGTTTAAAAGGAACTAGGTCCCAGTCTTGAGGCAGAAAGAACCGACCCCGGCAAAAAATTGAATTAATTGCGCGGCGTTTCGCAGGATTGGATCAAACACTGGGCCTCCTCCCACGTCTCCGCCCCCCCCCCCCGCCCCGTCTTGTCTTGAGGACCTCGGGGCATTGGAAGACTGCGACTGCGTGTTCTGGGCCGCGGGACGGCGATCTTTGGAGGCTCGCGTGCTTCGCGTGCTTCGCGTGCTTCGATGCGCGGAAGATGTCTTGATGTCCCAAAAATCCACGGGATCTGGGCAAGTTGGCGGACTTTTGGGGTGCTTCCATTTAAGGTGAGCATCGGAAGGGCGATTTTTTTCCCCCAGGGTGCAATGCTTGAGAGATATGGACCGTGGTGCAACACCCCCACACACACACACTCACACTCACGCACCAGAGTGCATTCCGCCATCGCTTCTTCGCTCTGCCAGGATGCCTCGCGGAAGGCTCTGGGCTGTGAGGCCCGGGAGACCTGGATGCCAGGCCAAGCCACTTGAGTGTTCCTAAAATGGAAATTGGAGCGCTAACACGACATCACAAGGCTTAATTCTACAGCTCAGTCGGAGGAAGTCTTTTTGCGCACAAGCTTTGTCGCTCGAGGCTCACGGTTTTCGCACCAGAGTTTTCGCGCAAGATTTGCCGCACCAGCTTTCCAGGTTTGGCAGGTTCCCAGGTTCGCAGGTTTTGCACGTTTGTTTGTTTGTGTGCTTGCTTGCTCGCCTGCTTGCTTGCTTGTTTATTCGCTCGCTTTTTCTTAGTGCTTTGGACCGCTGGGTTTTGAGCGTTGGCAGGGATCTCCCACCTGGTCATGGCCGGTTTCTCGCGCGATTGCTTTGGCGTCACTTTTTGCAGGTCCGTGTCCAGCAAGGGTTACCTTGAGGTCGACATCTGATGAATCTGGACACTAATCGGGGCATACCAATCAGGGGTGCTTCGCCTTGTGGAGAATGCAATTGTTGGCTTTTGATGGCCTAGTAGGATTCTGCTCTTGACTAGCACTCATGGTTTCCTTCAGGATCCTCGCGGTAGCCGGCTAGGTGAAGGTCGGAGACAGCCAGAAGGTGATTGTGTTCCAGGCGCTTGGCAACCTGTCGGAACACCAGACAGCCCTGTTCGTTCCTAAGTTGATTTCCTTCCTTTCTTGTCAGTTTTTGTTTTGTTTGTTTGCTTGCTTGCTTGTTTGTTTGTTTGTTTGTTTGTTTGTTTGTTTGTTTGTTGCGTTTTGTGATGCGTGTGGGTTTCTTAGCCTTCCTGTTGCAAGTGTTGCTGGCAAGCGGCCAGTGGCCATTTGGGAAACCGAGAGGGAAGCGTGCGTTCACGTCTCCAAACCATAGAGGCCGCACGAGGGGCTTTGGTTTGCCACAGGTTACAGAATGAATCACAATGCACCCCGACCAATGAGGAAAGTAAGCGTTGGCCGCCGAGCTTTGCAGTTCTGCACGCGGATCGGCCATCCCAAAAAAGTCACCAAAAGCTGAACGAGGATTATGCTTTCTGGGGCCGAAGCACAACCGTTTGTCCGAAGTGGAGCGATCTGACCACTTGCCTTCAACCAGGCGTCCTATTTTCTTGACCGTGGAATATGGGGTTAGGCAACTTTCTGGGAGGCAAAAAGAGGATCCTGGTTGGAGTGAGCGTTCTGCACAACCATTTCTGGGCTGCTTGTTTCGGCAATCCGTAAGATCCCAACTTGGGGCACCAGAACATGTGGTGGCATCTGTACTGGATAAAAAGCTGGATTGACCAAACGCCCAATTTCGCAGCTAGAGCCCATAGGTGCTTTGTTTGCGGTCAACTTGTCTCTCTTTCTGTCGTGGTGTCGGATCCAGTGTTGGGTCCTAAAACGACACCAAAGGAACATTGAATAAAGCGCATCCAAAATCTCAGCAATTAAATCCTGGAGGAGTGAAGCATAATTAGGAGAGAGTGCCAATGGGATGGACATCGAGCCCTTGTAAGTCTTCAATGGGTTGCGGGTTGGCCACTTCTCGCAGTCTCAAGGGAACGACAACGTGGTTTTGGTTGGATCGGAATCAACCAAACGGGATCACAACGGGGGTGCCATCTTCCGCAACTATCTTGCTATCTGTTTCGGAACAATTTAAACAACTGGGTTGGAAAGCCCTGCCAAATAGTTTTCCAGGGAGACCCTTGAAAGCAAAATTCACACCTTGGACTCTTTTTTTTTCTCGGCTTGACCCCTTTTTTTCCACCTGGGAAATGTCACAGACCGGGCAACCGATCTTTTTCACCTTGGCAACTTTTTTCACCTGGAATATTTTGTTCATCTTATATTCCTTTTTTCCTATCCTTGCATACTTTTTTTTTTAAATCACCCTGGGGGCAGCTTATTCTCACAAACACCGGGTCTATTCTCCTCGTCTTCATCTTCCTTCCCGCTCTTCTTCCCGTAGTCTTCACTTCTCGCAGTCTTTCCCTCAGTCCTCGTCGACCTCCTCTTCCCGTCTTCAAGACTTCCTCCTCTCGGAAGCCTCGTAGCCTCTGAGTCTTCCCGTTCTCTGCTTCCTGTCGTGGGCTTTCGCAGTCCCGCGGTCCTGCTGTCGTGGTCTTGCGTAGTCTTCCTCGTCTTCTCGTAGTCTTCCGCGCGTCTTCCTGTAGTCCTCCTCTTCTTGCCTGTTGACCCTTCCACGCATTACTTTTAAAGCCCTCTTCCTTGTGTTCTCCATCTTTTTATTCTTTTCAGCGACGCCTTCTTGGGGCCACCGCGCCTTTTCTGGCGACTTTTCCATTCTGGGCGACCGCACGATTGCACCTTTTCGTGCCCTCTTGGGCCACTGCGCCCTCTTTGGGCCACTGCGCCCGCCGCGCCGTTTCTGGCCACCGCGTCGTTTTGGGCGGCCAAGTGTCCTTGCCCGGCCTTGACGCTCGAGCTTGTTGCCGGAGTGCCGACTTTCGTCCTTTGCGACTCATCAGGTCACGCGGTGCTCAAACACCTGGGCGAACCCACTCACCCAATTGGACTACGCTGGCTTCAATCCAGCACTGCGACTTGTAGATGGGCGTGACGAGACGGTAGAGTGGATCGTCTTGGATGGTCTACTGAAGCTGTATGCATCCTTTTTCTGGAACCCGAGGCGCCTCTTCTGAATTCTCATTCTGGGGTTTTGGATTTCCTTGCTGCACGGGCTCCTCGGACAGTGCGGATCCTCGGACTCGTTTTGCTCGGATTGAGGTATGAGAATACCTTTTCTGCTCCCGCGTGGGTCGGCGGGCTCGATTTTTGGCTGCTCTGCAATTTCCAGGATCTTGCTGACACGGGCAAAGCAAGTGAGGGTTGACTCTGTGACTTTTTGTGTTGTGATCTGCTTCCCTACACAGACGGGCAATATCTTCTCAACCCCCCCCCCCTTGGGAGGGGTTTTCCGGAACATGCTTGGACAGGTTGATCGTGGATGGTCGATCTTCCCAGGGCCATCTAATTCAAACAACTCTTCTTGCAAGGAGTTTTCCTGAGCAGACTTGATCAAGAGCTGCTACTGGATCGTCGGCTCGCTGGATCATTCTCCGCCGCAAACAACGATCAGTTCAAAACCCTTTCAGAAACACAAAGAATCAAAGAAAGTAGTGTGAACAGCGTGCACATACAGACTGGTGCTCGCAGCACGGCAAGAGCGTGCGCATGGGCAAGAGTAGCAAGGCTTACACCAGAATGATGTAGGGCGTGTCAACGCAAACACGAAGCATCACTGAGCTGCCTGCTCGACCACGTGAAGCTAAGGTGTTACACCACCCGTCAACTGCGAATGCCGCAGAGGCCCGCTTTCAAGTGATTGCAGTTGCTGCTTGCAGCTGGCCACGAGCTCTGCCAGGGTTGATGACGTGTCCTCACCTGAACTGTTGCACGAGGAACAGCAACCTTTTAGCTCATACACTCAAACCTTCCTGCCGGGCAGCGCGTACCGGTCTCTTTTGCGCCACCCAGCCTCCTAGCTTAACGCCGCCAGAGACCAGCTTGGCGTCTGAGCCGGATTAGATGTGCCATAAAATTCATCACTTTCATCATCGTCATCATGATTGTCATCTTCGTCTCTTTCTTCTATACATTTCAAATGTGGCGTTTGGGCACCATCCGTAATGCAGAGGATGCTGTGATGATACTTATCATGACAGTCGTCATCCTTATCATCATTGTCCGTATGATCATCATGATCTCTGATTTTGCAGCATTGGTAATGCAGAGAATGCTACGATGATAGTTATCATGACAGTCATTGGCAGCTTTGGTAATGCAGAGGATGCTGTGATGACGCTTATCATGACAGTCATCATCCTTATCATCTTCATGATGATTGTCCTCACAGTCATCACTTTCATCATCGTCATCATGATTGTCATCTTCGTCTCTTTCTTCTATACATTTCAAATGTGGCGTTTGGGCACCATCGGTAATGCAGAGGATGCTGTGATGATAGTTATCATGACAGTCATCATCCTTATCATCATTGTCCGTATGATCATCATGATCTCTGATTCTGCAGCATTGGTTATGCAGAGGACGCTACGATGATAGTTATCATGACAGTCATCATCCTTATCGTTGGCAGCTTTGGTAATGCAGAGGATGCTGTGATGACGCTTATCATGACAGTCATCATCTCCTATTGCAACGCCGCCGCCCTGTGCATGTCGAAGCCACCAGAGTCAAGCAACAGTATTTGATTGTTGCTTGGAATTTCCAACTTCGGTACTTTGCTTCTGCCTCGATGTGTGCAAAGAAGAGTTTATGTTGTTTTTTTACACTTGCTTGTTACTTAGAGCCGCCCCCCAAAGAATGCGAAAAGCACGTAGGAGGTTGCCAATTTTCAGAGAGCGACCCGCAAAGGAAATGCAAAGAATGCCGCATTAGCAGGCAGCTTCACGGCGGCTGATAGTAGCGAGTCCTTTTGCTGACTGACATGATTTCCTACGATGCCCCACAACCCCTTCTTACAGAAGTAGCTGTTGACCGCAGATGCCGGGCAGTGCTTGCGCTCAGGTGCTCTCGCCTACAGCGAAGCTGCAGCGACTTGGGTGCCTGCCTCTAGGATCACGCGGGGCTCTGCAGAGCGCATTTTGCTGGAAGTAGGCAGTGATGGGTGAGGGCCTTGCTTCGCCTACGAGGAGCCCAGAGCAGGTTCACAAGGCTGCACTCCCGTCACCTATCCGTGCTACCTCCGCCAACTCACAGCCAACTGGCGCGCAGACGGCTATGCCTTGTTCTTCATGCCTCGCGCTTCCCTCCCTGCAGCCTGCGCCGAAAAAGAGATGGACCTGACTACAAAGCTGAGCTCTATTGGCAGCCCCTTGCGCCTCGCACCTCGCGCATCGCGCCTCGCGCCTCTCGCCTCGCCTCGGGCCTCCTCTCTTTTCGAAGCTAAGGAAAGGTTGCCGTGTGTAGTTGAAGTTAAGCACAACTGCACAAGACGAGAAGCCAAGGAAGCAAGCAGCAATCGCTACAGGCACTGAACCGACGCTTGGCTGCAAACTTTGTTTGCTCGGTCAACAATGAGCAAGCAATGAGCTGCTTGTCTCCATCCAAGCAGCGGACAGAATGTGGAACCTAGAGCAGGTTTAGTAGTCACAGGCAAACTCCCCTCAACAGTTTGCCAGAGACAGATGTGAAAAAGGGATGGCGCGGGATGACTCACCACAAGGGTTCGTGAACCAAAAGGCTGATTTCAGTTGGTTGCCTGGCGCTAGCTTCACCAGAACGCCTACAGTTGACTCGAGTCAGGTTAGACAAGTCTTCTTTAGAATCTCTTGCTGCTCCCATTGCTTCCTGAAAGGTGCTTGGAGCCTGCTTGCCAAATCACACTTTAAGCAAGTTTGGGAGCTCAGCCCCTCACACCGATCAGAAGGGGATTTTTTTACAAAACATATCTTTGTTTAAGGGGCTCAGCAGATTTCAGGTTTTCACAACAATGTGGCTAAGTTCGTTCTGTTTTGGGTTTCCCTACGCATGAACCTTAAACCAAGTTGCAGTTGCAATATTTGGCCGTGGATCAAGTGATTCAACACCTCGGAGCGCAGGGTCTTGGCGATGGGTATGGGTCCCGGAGACCCCGGCGGATTTGGAGGCTAAGGAAGACCCTGCCCGCCAGCTAAGCGGAAGCAGGCTGGCGAGGATTGGCGGAGCTGGAAGCACGGCGTGCATAAGCTGCGCTGTGTTTCAAGCAAAAGCAATGCAAACGAGCAAGAAACGGACGGGTCCTTCCCACACCGGGCTGTGAGGTTTTTATTTGAATGGGGAAGACATTCTTTTCTCTCGTGAAAGAACCCCATCCCTTCGAGTCGCGCGAGACGGGCAACCGCTGTCACTGACTTACGTGTTTGACCGGCACTGTCCACCCTTGCCACGTGCGCCAACGCAAATGTAGTGTATGGGGTGAACTTCGGGCTCGGCTGCGTTACAACCCGTCATCGCGTGGCAGCTCGGCCCTCAGAATTCAAATCCCTGCGTGTCATGTGACAAGGGGACTGTACTGCACGGGGCGCGTGGGTGGCTCAGGCCCACAGAAGCTCGTCGGCGCTGCTTGTACGATGAGGCGTTGAGATTGTTTTAGTTTACTAAGAGAGAGCTGGAGTGGAAAGACAGCCTAGAAACAGGCATCTGCGTGGCGCAGCGTGGCCTCGGCCTTGTCGGCGTAGGGGTGGCTAACAACTGCGCGCGCTACCATTCTTTTTCTAACCTTGCGCACCTTTCTTCACAAACGCCGGGTTCATTCTCCTCGCAGTCTTCATCTTCGTCTCGCAGCACAGGGTTCAAAGGTGAAAGAAAAGGGCCAAGGTGAACAAAAAAAGGTGCCAAAGTGAGAAAAAGGTTTCCCCATTCCTTTGAGGGTGGTTTTAAGCAACGCGTTTTGGAAAGGGTGAACTTAATCCCCAAGCCAAATGGTGGGAAAGGGCCGCGGTTGAGCAGTCGGTTCAGATCTCGGAGCTCGGGCCCGACACCAACGCCTGGCAGCTGGCCAGCGCGGAAGCCGAGAGGGGTCACCGTTTCATAGGGTCTGCAACGAATGGGATGGTTTTTCCACTCAACCGTCGGCGGCCGTCCCAGGCATCTCAACTTGGCAAGTCTGTTTCCAGAAGTTCGCTAGGAACTTTTTGCAACTGTTGGCCATGCGTGGCACGGGGAGGCTTGACAATCAGCGTATGTCTTGATTCAGAAAACCGTTGAACAGTGGGTATCAGTAGTATGAGTCATCGACAACTTGTGGTGCCAAAAAACGAAGATGTTTCAATGAAATCACCCAGCATTTGAAAAGGGTCAAAAGGGTCAAAGACCAACCCAGCGGTGGGGTTTGCCTGAACAATAACCAATTTCTGCCCACCCAGCGGTTTTGCCTATGAATGCAGATGTCAGCAAGTTGTTCAAAGTCAATCCTGAATCCTTCGTCCCACTACGGAGTGCGGAATCACCGAAGGAGGGCTTCGCCAATTCTGGACAACCCAGGCTCCGTATTGGCACACTAGGGAGTTGCCGTTTGTTCCCATTTCTGGAAGCCGAATTTCTCCTGATTCTTCACCGTTCTCCTAAGACTTCTCTTCATGAAAGCAACAAGTTACGGAAGCAATAAGACACAAGCGCGCATTGTATACATATATGATATGTGTATATATATATATATATATTTTATATATGTATAAATTTGTACTAGGCATATATCACCCGTATGCAACCAAATTGTAGCCAGGTATTCCCTGTTTAACGCATCCGCTAGGACAGGCCGCAGGGCAGGTAGTCATTTCCCTTGGTTGTGGCTGTTAGCGTTCCAAAGCTTCAGGATGAATGTCGGCGCTGAGTCTCCACCAGTGCGTGGTAACCAAGGTGGTTTTAACCTGTTTCAACACCTGCTTTGCTTACTTATGATGTTGATGGAAGGCCGGCTCATCATGGGCCGGAGAAGCGGTTTCAAATGCAATCTGCGGAAAAAAAATCTTGAGACCGCAGCTTCGTAGCAACTGAACATACCCTCTGCGAGGCCTCGACCTATCTGGCATTGCACAGCAGGCGGGAAAAGACCAAAGACCATTGATTGCTTTTTGGGGGTCAGTTTAGGCCCTTTTTGTGGCGATAGCGGTTTCGAATCTTATGAAGACTTGGACTGGCCTGCCCTTCATTCGAAATTTCCAGACGGGCAGTTTATTTGGGGCGCCTGTTCTTTGAGAAGCCTATTCTTCCTTATTCTTTTCAAGAGAACATCGCGGCTTAACTATTAATCCGCAAGTATGCCTTTTCTCTCTCTCAAGTTGTCGGTTAAGGGTTTAGGGTAGGTTTGGTGTTCGGTGTTAGTTGTTTTTTTTTTAAGGCTTTCGGTTTAGAATTTTGGGACCATGTAGTTTCAGGGTTCTTGGGCTCAGGGTTTTGCAGTTTGGGTTTTGGCTGCTGAGAGTTCAGGCTTTGAGGTTTGATGAGTCTGCAAGTTGGGGATTCCGCAGCTGAGCTCGTAGCCCCAAGACACAGGCCCTGCCAGGCAGGTCACGCCTTAGAGACTAATCAATAAAGGAGTACCCTCAAAGAAGACACCCATGTAATATTTGACCCTATATGAAACAATTCTTGTTCATGAATGGGGCGGGGTGCCTGGAGCCCCGAAACGCCGTTTTTTTTTTGTCCGGCCAAAAGGCATATTTGGCCAGCTTTTGCCCGCAAGTTTTTTTTTCTCGGGCATTTGCCTTAGGTGCCCCAGGTGTTGAAAGGGTGGTTCCCTCTCGGCCGCGCTTTTTTGGGGCCGTGAGGCCAGCCGCTCGCTGTGCAACCTGCGGGTCATGCTGCGCCCGGGCTTCGAGGGCGCCTGCGCCTGCTGGCCCGGGCACCAAGCGACGCAAGGGAAAAAAGGCCCTTGTTGGGAGCTTTGCTTTCTTTTTTTGGGGGGTATTTTTGGAAGCTCAGTTTTTCCCCAAACAGTGTGTCTACACTAAGGGGTTCTTACGGTAAGAGAAAAGGCCTTGGTGCCAGATTGAAGTGCCCGCTCTGTCCGCGAGCGTTTTGCGTGGTATATTTACCGCAGATTCGTGCTCTTGCTTGATGTCAAAGTGCGTTTCGACTGCGCAGGCTCGCACAAAGTGAGGTGTCGACTTCTGTCCGCGAGCGTTTTGCGTGGTATGTACCGCAGATTCGTGCTCTTGCTTGATGTCGAAGTGCGTTTCGACTGCGCAGGCTCGCACAAAGTGAGGTGTCGACTTCTGTCCGCGAGCGTTTTGCGTGGTATGTACCGCAGATTCGTGCTCTTGCTTGATGTCGAAGTGCGTTTCGACTGCGCAGGCTCGCACAAAGTGAGGTGTCGACTTCTGTCCGCGAGCGTTTCGCGTGGTATGTCCGCAGATTCGTGCTTTTGCTTGATGTTGAAATATGTTTCGACTGCGCAGGCTCGCAGAAAGTGAGGTGTCGACTTCTGTCCGCGAGCGTTTCGCGTGGTATTTACCGCAGATGCTTGCTTTGGCTTGATGTTGAAGTGCGTTTCGATTGCGCAGGTTTGCACAAACTCGATTTCTTTGCTTTTTTGGCGGCTCCAGGGACCGTGGGGGTTTTGTCTCGTCCCGCCCTGTCCGCGCGAGCTTGTTTCCCTTTCTTTGTGGTGCTTCTGTGCTGCGACGGCTTCTCGATGGTAACAACAACCAAACAGCAACAGCAACAGCAACAGCGCCACATTCATAGAAAGAAAGAAACACAGAGACAAAACAACGAGAACCAAGGAAGAAGCTACCTAGCTAGCTAACTCACTAACTCAGGCACCCTGTTGAAACAAACACACAGATCTTGCCTTTTGTAGTGATGCTTGCGCAGCCATGGGCGCAATAATCTTGGCGACGCTGCTGGAAGCCGCGCCTGTCGATGTGCGCGCGGAATTCGAGCATCTCGGGTCATGTGTCTTGGGAGACCTTGCGGCTGCGCAGGCGGGTGCTTTGTTGGAAGGTTTATCTTCGGATCGACAGGGCTTATGGACGGCGTGCAAGAACGCAGGGATTAGCCGGAAACAAGGTGGGAGAAGTTTGCAGCAGGAAGAGCTTCGGGCGCTGGCGAAGGACAAGCTTCTCGCCGTGCTGCCGGCGGTTTCATTTCAGGCTCTTCTGGACTACGCCGTGCCTGGCGAGATGGGGAGGGAACTGGAAGAGTACGGAGAGGTCCTCGTGGCGGCGCAGGAAGCGGCCAGAGTAACACAGAGTGACAGAGCTCCTTCGTGCATTGGGAGCGGGTGCAGATGAGCTCAGGAAAGTGCATGAGCAGTGTGTGGGGGATCGCAATACGAAATGCCAGTGGCAGAACACGCGCAGCGCAAAGTGTGCGCTCCGAGTTGCGCGGCGCCTGCATTCGATTTCTGAAAGAAACGCCAGTCAGCGACGCTTCGGGTGGGGCGGAACAGGGCATGACTGCGTCTGCGGCTGCGCGCGCGGGCGAGGGCATAAGCCCGACGAGCAGTTCCGGCGCGTTGGTGGGGCAAAGCGTGCAGGTTACCTTGGCGATGCTGCTGGAAGCCGCGCCTGCCGATGTGCGCGCGGAATTCGAGCATCTCGGGTCATGTGTCTTGGGAGACCTTGCGGCTGCGCAGGTGCTTTGTTGGAAGGTTTATCTTCGGATCGACAGGGCTTATGGACGGCGTGCAAGAACGCAGGGATTAGCCGGAAACAAGGTGGGAGAAGTTTGCAGCAGGAAGAGCTTCGGGCGCTGGCGAAGGACAAGCTTCTCGCCGTGCTGCCGGCGGTTTCATTTCAGGCTCTTCTGGACTACGCCGTGCCTGGCGAGATGGGGAGGGAACTGGAAGAGTACGGAGAGGTCCTCGTGGCGGCGCAGGAAGCGGCCAGAGTAACACAGAGTGACAGGGCTCCTTCGTGCATTGGGAGCGGGTGCAGATGAGCTCAGGAAAGTGAGCATTGTGTGGGGGATCGCAATACAAAATGCCAGTGGCGGAACACGCTCAGCGCAAAGTGTGCGCTCCGAGTTGCGCGGCGCCTGCATTTGATTTCTGAAAGAAACGCCAGTCAGCGACGCTTCGGGTGGGGCGGAGCAGGGCATGACTGCGTCTGCGGAGGCACGCGCGGGTGAGGGCACAAGCCCGAGCAGTTCCGGCGCGTTGGTGCAGGTTACCTTGGCGATGCTGCTGGAAGCCGCGCCTGCCGATGTGCGCGCGGAATTCAAGCATCTCGGGTCATGTGTCTTGGGAGACCTTGCGGCTGCGCAGGCGGGTGCTTTGTTGGAAGGTTTACCTTCGGATCGACAGGGCTTATGGACGGCGTGCGAGAACGCAGGGATTAGCCGGAAACAAGGTGGGAGAAGTTTGCAGCAGGAAGAGCTTCGGGCGCTGGCGAAGGACAAGCTTCTCGCCGTGCTGCCGGCGGTTTAATTGAAGGTTTTGTGGACTACGCCGTGCCTGGCGAGATGGGGAGGGAACTGGAAGAGTACGGAGAGGTCCTCGTGGCGGCGCAGGAGGCGGCCAGAGTAACACAGAGTGACAGAGCTCCTTCGTGCATTGGGAGCGGGTGCAGATGAGCTCAGGAAAGTGAGCCGCGTGTGGGGGATCGCAATACGAAATGCAGGTTGTGGATGCGCGCCTTCCCGGCTTACTTCAAACAGGACGCGCGCCAGGCCGGTTCCCTTGAGAGGGAAGGAAAACGCCGTCGTCTGAGTTGCAACAAAGCCCTGGTCCTTTTGGTGTCCTCCAAGCGCACCGAACAACAAGAAGCTGCCAGCGGGCTCCGCTTGGTCACCAAAGACATCATCGATGGTTTAGCAGAGGCAGACGCTGCCGCGGCCGAAAAATTCACAGCCATAGCTTACTGCACTGTTCATAACTTGAAGGATTTCGTCTTGGACCCACCTCGGACGGGCAAAAAGTTGCAGTATGCCTTGGCCATAGCGTGCTCCAAGTCTGCGACGGAAGGGCAAGCCAAGCTCATTGTGGAACAGCTGCAGCTGCTGCGTGAAGCAGATGTTGACGTGGCCACGAAGTGTATGCGCCAACTGCTCCTGATGTCTAGCGTGACTGCTACGCGCGGACCTCCGCCTGGCACGCATGCTCCCTGGACAGAGTCGACAGCGCCCGCCTTGCAACAAGCCCTTTGCCCAGCTCTGAGTGCATACCCCCGTGGAGAGCCGTGGGCGAATGCACTTACAGCACCGGGCGTACACGCCTGCAGCGACTGAGCGAATCTTGGAACCCTTGCGGCTGCGCAGGCGGGTGCTGGAAGTGTCTCTACGGATCGCTGACGGACGGAATGCAAGCGCGCAGGAGTTAGCCAGAAGCAAGGAGCAGCTGGTTTTGTCGACGCAGACCCACTTCAGCTGCCGTGCTTTGCTCGCGGATAAAAACAGTCGCGTTCTTGCGCCCCCCGTACGTTGTGTTTGCTGCTCCACACACTATTCACGCACGACTCCATGTGTTCCTTCCTCACATTCCTTGTCTTACTGCTTTTCCATTCCTCGTGTATGCACTCAACGTGTCATGTTCCTTGCTGTTGCACTGTATAACTCGATAGCGCCAAAGGGCTCAGAGATCTTGCGTGGTGGTGGGTTGTTGCCCTACCTGGTTGTCCGCACACGTGCACTAGCTTTGCTTCGATGGCAACGCGGTACTTTGCCTAGAACTGCGGTTCAAACATACTTTCACAACTGCATCGCGCCAATTCCTCTATGTGTCTGCATGTGTGCCTGTATGCGCGTGTCCCTGCGCGTGTCCTTGCGCGTTCCGGCACAAGCTTGCACGTGCGCCGCTGGCGGTTGCGCAGGGACAGCCGATGTCCAACCTTGTGCATAACCAATCGGTGATGCAGCGGATGCGCTTTGTTGTGGTGGAACACAATAAGAAAAGTAGTTAGCCAGAAGCAAGCGCAAGCTGGTTCTTTTCGACACAGCCCCACTTCAGCTGCCATGCTTTGCTCGCGGAAAAATGCAGTCGCGTGCCTTTGCCCCCTACTCTGTAATTTACCCATCCACACACTAGTTACGCACGAAGCCGTGTGTTCCTTCCTCACATGCCTTGTTTTACTTCCATGCTGCATGCAACAACGCTCCTGTGCGTGGAAGTCGTGTCGCTTTGGCTCAGCTCCGTCCTTTTGCCGCCGACACTCTCCGTACTCATGCCTCGACGCTGCCTGACGCATCCGAGTAAAATTGACGCTGAGAACGCCGCGCTCTCGAGCAACACTGCGGCTGCGCGTGAAGATGACGCAACGCGCCATGCCTGCTGGCCGCTTGGAGACACGCGGTGCCGCCAATCTGCCGGGCCTGGACGAGCCCGCCGGAAGCACCCAAGTCGTTCGCCACAGTACAGCTCGCCCCAGCAGAAAGCGCACGTATTCGACCGCCTGCTGCTATGTACCCCGTGCTTTGCGCTCAGGCCGTGTGTCTAGGCGATGTCTGTTTGTTCTTGCGGCTCATGACGACCTGCTGTGCTGCACGTTGCCGCGTCTGGATGCAGCGCGCCCGTGCCGCACGCCAAGAAGTAGAAGCTTACGCAAATTTTATCCTGGCAACACGGCTGTGGCTGCCAGGGTTCGTGGCGCACGATGTCATTGACGTGCGTGTGTCTTGGAACGCGCCCGAGTGGATCCATGCACAAATCCGCCTGCCGACTTTCTTTGACAACTCTTTCCGCTGTGCAGACGAAGCTACCGTGCAACAGTGGATCGACCAACATCCGCGCCTTCGCGGCCTGCCACCCATCGCAGCGCTGCACCGCATGAACTGCCTCGATATCATGGCGCCAAATGAGTTTGACGCCTTCTTGTGCGCCCTGCGATCTGGGAGCGCGCGCTTTATGTACACGCCTGCTGTGGAAGGGTCCGAGCCAGACAGCCCAGTCTTTGGGCCTGCCTTGATAACGCTTCTGTGCTGCGAGAGCTTGCCACTAGCACTCTGCGTGCGCCGCGTCGGCTGTTTGCAGCAACAAGCTACCACGCCTTGACCGCAGCGCCTTTGCATCTACCAACAGACTGGCCTGCTGCGGCTGCGCGCAGTGCCACGCATCTATCCCAGCAGCCCTGTCCTGCGATTCTGCCGTCTCACCGATATGTGCTGCTCATGGAAGAAAAAACGAGCATGCCTGCTGGCCATGCCTGTGCGCCTTTTTCCCCAAACAGTGTGTCCACACTAAGGGCTTCTTACGGTAAGAGAAAAGGCCTTGGTGCCAGATTGAGGTGCCCGCTCTGTCCGCGAGCGTTTTGCGTGGTATATTTACCGCAGATTCTTGCTTTTGCTTGATGTTGATGTGCGTTTCGACTGCGCAGGCTCGCACAAAGTGAGGTGTCGACTTCTGTCCGCAAGCGTTTCGCGTGGTATTACCGCAGATTCTTGCTTTTGCTTGATGTTGAAGTGCGTTTCGACTGCGCAGGCTCGCACAAAGTGAGGTGTCGACTTCTGTCCGCGAGCGTTTCGCGTGGTATTTACCGCAGATTCTTGCTTTTGCTTGATGTTGAAATGCGTTTCGATTGTGCAGGCTCGCACAAAGTGAGGTGTCGACTTTTGTCCGCGAGCGTTTCGCGTGGTATTTACCGCAGATTCTTGCTTTTGCTTGATGTTGAAGTGCGTTTCGACAGCGCAGGCTCGCACAAAGTGAGGTGTCGACTTCTGTCCGCGAGCGTTTCGCGTGGTATTTACCGCAGATTCTTGCTTTTGCTTGATGTTGAAGTGCGTTTCGACAGCGGAGGCTCGCACAAACTCGATTGTTTTGCTTTTTTGGCGGCTCCGGGACCGTGGGGGTTTTGTCTCGTGGTTCGGCAGCACGGGTTCCGGCGAAAGGTCCCGGGCTCGACGGCGTCTCGATGGTACTCTGAACAACAACAACGAACCGCGTGTCTGTTCCAGGCCATAGCTTCCTGACAACAACCGCCGTTTTGCGGCGCTGCCCGCACAATACTCTGCAGCGTGTGACCGCCGCCTATCACTGTTTGGGGTCTCGTGCCGGGGAAATTTTTGAGGAGTTGTTTCTATTTGGAAACCAAGGGCAAGCCACTTTTTTGTGGGGTCCCCATCTCCCACAAGAGGTCTTCCACTGGGAACCCAACCGGGCACTTTGCATGTACCCTCACCATTGAACTCTCCAATTCTTCGCTCTTTGAAAAAGCTGAAGCAGTCGCTTTTTTGTTCGAACGAGCCATGATTTGCTCATGTCAAAGTTTTGATGTGTTTGTGAGCAACCCTATTAAGGCTCTGGGTCTTTGGACTGCCGGAGATGGAGGAGAAGGGCAAGGCGGACAGAGCTGCCTTTGAGCGCGTGCAGGTTTGGGCTTGACAGCTCCTACAAAAACCAGCGATTTACTCCCGGTGGCTTTCGAATTGGGTGCACAACCCTGTTCTTTTGTGCTGGAAAGCGGTGGTGGACAACATTTGTTGACACGTTTTGGCATCCTTGCGCTAAATAAACAGCAGTAGGAACCTCCCTCCCAAAACACAAGCGTGTGTCGATCTGGTTTCATATCCACCCCCCAAAAGGGTCCCACCACCATATTTGTCGGAGGTGCTCGCCTTTTTTGCTTGCAGGCTGGGAGGAAGTAGTAATTAGAACGATCCCAAACCTGTTGCAGGAGCGCATCATATTGTAATAAAGAACATAATGAACACTGATCATGCCGCATTTGTCACACAGCATGCGACCTTACATGTGACAAATTGGCCGCCGGTAGGACAGTTCTAAGAAGAACAACTTTCATCCTCCTGAGGCAGGTAGCCTTTCGCCCTCCGGCCCCAGACCATTTTGTAAGTGTTCCCGTGGTTTACGAGTTCCAAGGTCAAATGTGGGAAGCTTCCGTGTTCACGGCTCCCTACTGCCCCTCCACCCCTACCGTCTTGCTTTGAAGCCATAGTTGAAGGACCCTCCCCCCAACCCCCAAACACCCGACTCGACAGCGGACTCTTTCAAGCAAAAGTAATCGCCTCGCGTGTCCTGCGTTCAAGCACATGGCGAAAAGCATTGGCAATCGCGTGCTTGCTTCAAATCAAGCGTGCAGCAAGTGCCAAAGAACAGTTTACCACGTGCGAAAAGCTTTCTTGTCAGCCTTGACCTTCGCCGATGCTGGGAACCCATGGTTTGACTGTCCCTGTTTCCAGCTCTAGTGATTCGTGGTAAACATGGATGTGCTGCTGAAGGGTTATATCAATTTTGCACATCCCAGGGTTCTGGTCATTTGGGCAAACATGGATACATTGATGCAAGGGCACTGATGAGTCGGACAAACTTGCCGACTTGCCGCGAGGTTTCTGATCATTGGCACAATCATGGATACATCTCTCTGCTAGGGTTCTCATCATTGTCATCCTTCGATTCCTTTTACCAGTCTTCCAACCCCCAACCTTTTTTCAGCATCAACTGGATAAGATGGATAAACCTGGATACACCAAAAGTTGTGAGGATGGTCAAGACACTCAGAAGGAACCCCCCGCCGCCCCCCCCCCCCCCCCCCCCTCGCCTCCCCAAAACGCCTCCCGGACCTTCCGCGCCGCGACCCCTGCCGCGACCCGAAGCGAGCCGTGGAGGCCTTGGTGCCGCGGGCCACGCTGGCAGAGGCGTGCCAGGACGTGGCCTGCCAGGATGCGCTGCTCCCAGCGCTGGAGGCGACAAGGGGGAACCACTCTTTGCTTCCTTTTTGCATTTTTTTTTGGAACTTGTACTTTTTTGCTGGAGTTCTTTTTTGGGGGAAAGGGGGTAAAAGGCCGGAACCCAAATTTGCGCTTTCACTCATATTTTTTGCTCGCCGCTCACCGGAAACCCAAAACCTCCTGGTTTGCGAGGAATCTAGACTGGAGCCATTGGGGTTCCATGCCCACGTGAGAGGCTGGGACGCTGTGGAGAGTTGGCGTATGCCACAGTCTACATAAGTTCGGACAAATCCAAGCGACTTTTTGTTTGTCCATGGCAAATTGGCAAGGGGTAGTGTCAAATGGAGCGTTCGGCCTTGTTTACACTCGGGTTGTTGCCTTGGTTGCCCTGGCGCTGGGCAATCGCTGCGTGTCGCCACGGTGTCTCAAGCTGGGGACATCCGAGAGAACAGGAGGCAAGTTCCGATGTGTTTTCCCCGAGATGGTTTGCGGCACCGAGAGTCATTTCGTATTTTATGGGTGATACCGTGTAAGTATATCTTGCAACATGGAGGCCAATTTCAGCCGGACACAAGCCTAAGCCTCAAGCGCTAAGAGCCATCAACCCACACATGAAATTAGACATCTACGAACCCCAAGTCGACGAAACTGCGAGAGACACCCCAAACATTCGAATGCCCACACACACAGAGAACACAAAACACAACAGATATCAGCTTGACCAAACATACAGGTCGCCTTTATTCCGGGGCCCGACCTCTGTTGCCGCCCTGCGGGTCGCTTCGTCCATTCGCCATGGGCTCGCGGTAGCCATGGCGAAGCTCCCGCGGGAGAAGGCTTGGCCGAGAACGCACGACGTTTTCATGAGGGGTTGCGTCAATAGGCCAGGAGAAACAGAAAGCAAAGACCCTGACCCTCTCTCCCACTAACATGGCACCTGACAGAGAGTCCCTCCAAGAGGAGCCTGATCTTCCAGGTACCCTCCAACGTGGGAGGAAGGGTACCTCATCTTAGCTTCAAGGTTCTCACTTCGTGCGTTGTGCCTTTCAATTGCAAGACACCAGAGCTTGTTGCGGGTTGGGAAGCCGGGCTCCGATCCAACGATTGGCTCTTTGGCAAAAATACACGTGCAAAGCGGGTGTTGCTGTCGGGACCCCAGCTCAAAGATGCTGCCTTCGGCTGCCTCGTTGCAGTCAATTCATCCAGTAGGCTATGGTCCATTTGAGGGCAACCGCACATTTTGACCGTGGATCGTCAAGCGGTTGAAGTTGGAAAGGACCAGCCGGTGACCTTCACTTTGACCCACAGAAACAGGGCAGTAAACCTGTGGACCAACTATTCAGAAATCCTCGTTCTAAGCTCGGCTTGCAGCCGCGTTTCTTTAGATTTTCCAGCCAAAATTCCGCATGGCCGACGGGAACCCCAAGCTTTGTGAAGGTAGTTTGCGAACCAACGGGACAGAATACCACGGATCCCCTGTGTTGTGAGCCCGGGCCACCAACAAAATTGGGGGGGACCTCGGCCGCGTTGGTTCTGGGTTTTCAGACTGGAGAGTGACAGGCACGGCCGAAGAACTCAAGAGAGCACTCCTCTGCTTGCACAAGCCAAGAGGGCGCAAAATATGTGTTGCAACGAGAACCAACCTTTTGGAGGTTCTGATTTTCCAACCCTGTTGGACGACCGGCCTGCAAACAGCATCTTCTAGCAAACAAAATCCTTCTCGTCCCATTGCATATTGCATAGAAAGAGGAACGCGATAGCAAATGCAGTATGTTGGAGGAGTTTGAAATTTGAATCATTGACAACTAGAAGCTTATGTCTGTTTCGAGTCTGCTTCATGCAGCTATGCTATCTGTATTTGCACATATTTGCACCAAACCGCCTGCAAGGCATTTTCCCTCCAAAAACCCAAACCGCGGCCTTCTTTCTCGCGGAGGTCATCGTGCCCCTGCGAGCCGTGTGCACTCCTGAGCTGCCTCCAGTGTCCGGCCAGGCTCGGAGGGACGCAGCTTGAAATCGGGAGATTTGGGTCTGGGCAAGTCAAAGAGCGGAGGTTCGCGGTGGCTTTCCCCTAAGCAAACGGCATTTTTGACCTCAACTTAGTTGTTGCAGCTTTCTCCTTCACATTCCGGCCCTCGATTTCGTGTTGTGGTGGTTTTAAGTCTAAGCACCAGCTTTTGGACATGTCGAGATGAGCTTCCTTTTGGTAGGGAACATGAGACAGGGAATGATTCCGGCTAGGTTCGTCCCTTGGCGTGGAGAGTTTCAGTCTTCTCTTAAGGCAGCTTCCCAGTTCCAGGGTCAGGCAGTCACTTGATTCTGAGCTCCCAAGACACCTGCTTGGGTTCCATGCAGAGGAGTCCCGAAGTGAGGATCTTCAGGGGCATTCTTCAACTGCCAGGATTCTCACAGGCAGTTTTGACCGTCCTAGGGCCTGTACGCCGTGCGCCTTGTCCGCCTGTCTGGGTTTTGGGACGTGAATGACTGGATTGCAAGAATGTGTTGCCCGGAATCTGGGTGAAATGGGCATGCTCAAAGCGCTCAAAGCAAGACATACAGAACATCTAGGGAGTCCCCAAACCCGGCCCAATGTCTGGAAGACCCTTCGAGCTCTTGAAAGGGCAAAGGACCTGCGCGCAACTTCAGAGTCCGGAGCTTTGCCAAGGCCCGCCCCTGCTCACGTGGGAATGAGCGAGGTGGGCCGGGAATGGGAATGGCATTCGAGTCAGTAGACGCTCCCTATTGTCTGGCAGAAGCCAAAGTCAGTGGCCAAGCTTTTGGACCTTGCACTTTTTTCTTTTCGCCAGAGACAGCCAGGTCAATTGTCTGGGCTAGTCCACTTCGGAGGTGCATTTTTCCTCCCTTCGCAGTGTTTGTTATGTTTGCCTATGTGCGAAAGCCAAGAGCAAGCCAGCGGTCATTGGCAGAATCCAAGCGGTGTGTCGATGAAGACCTCTGGGACTCTTTTCAGGAGCGCTTCGCCAAGCTTGGCCTCAAGCCCCGATCGCTTCGGCCAGCCAGACCGTCCCATGACTCCCTCACTCCCTCAAGGAAGGGACCTTTGCCTTGCTCCCGGCTTGTTCCTCACTGTGGGTGCAAGAGGTCTCTGTCTTTTTGTTGTAAACGGACGCGCCCTCAGAATTTACACCAACCTAGTTTGATCAATAGTCTAATGGCAAGGTGAAATCTATTTTAGAGGGGATCCTTTATCTTTTTTGGGGGTCACATCCCTCTATTCCCGCTATTCCTGGGTTTCACCAAAGCTCAGAAAACACGAAGCTTCCCGAGCAAACCGACCCCGAACACTGAAAGCCTGGACCCACTCGGGCGGCTTCGCAGGGCTGCGCGCCAAGCTGGGCATCTACCGCAAGCGCCTGGAGCTGCGGGCGGCCGAGCGCGCAGTAGGAGAGGGGTGGTTGGTCGTGACGGTGCGGCACAGGTCTCAGGCGAGAGGCGGCCGTTTTTGTTCGGTTCCCATTTCGGGGTTCTTCTTCTGTCTTTTTTTTCTCTCCTTTTTTCTAGGGCTGGTACCGGTACCGTTACCGTTACCCCATTTCGGGAAACGCCACTTTGGGCGAGCAAAAGTTGGAAGCGCCAAAAACAAGAGAAGCGATCTATTGCGGGTCGCCTGCCATTCAGGAGACCCCTACCTCCAGGACCTGTCGCTGAGGCCTCTCTTGGCGGACATGTGGGTCTGTCTTTTTCGTGAGGGTACACTTTTGGTTGGTTTCAAAGAAAGCACACATTTTGTGGTTCTCCTCAAAAAGAGGAATACGCGCGCAACGGGAAGGTTGCAAAAACCGGGGGGCCCTCACCCCCGCCCTACAAGGGCGCAGAGCCTGAAAAACGGAGAACCATATCTGGTTGGGTTGATAGTCCTTAGTGGCTTTAAACGTCACTTTTCACGGTTGCCGACTTGAGGCTTTCTTTCGGAGTTTCCGCCAAATAAGGATCCATAGCCAAACCTAGTACCCCCGAGCCAAGTCTTTTGCCCATAGCGTGCACACTGGGTAAAGGCGGGGGAATTGGCCAATTTGCCCACCGGAAAGGAATGCCCAAGGAAACCTGGTTCCCCATGCTTGAAGTTTCTATTTCTTCAAAGTGGACCCCGGGATGAACAAGCAGCGGAGGGCCTCCTCTCAACATGGGTTGTGCCCCGGGAGACAGCCAAGCTGCATCCCAAATAAGTTTCTGATACCTGTTCGCGCAATTGGAGGGCGCAGGAGCCTCCGATTTCACCATGGGCACGCACTACCCGCTAACCTTTTTCTTTCCCACTGTTGAGGAATCATTCAATAGATGTTCCTCAGAACGCCGAGCCTACATGGCCGAAAATAACGCAAGACATATAGTTTGTATAGTTCCTTCAAGACGAGTTGTTCAAGGTGTTTCTTTTGGGTTTGACGTATTGTGCCAGGTTTCGTATGACTTGCTTGGCATATTTGACGATGAACTGGTTTGTTAACGAACTGAGCCATTTGATCTGAAGCACCCAAGTTTGATCGGTGTTGACAAAGGCAGTCTATTTTGCTTCCTGCAAAGGGCTGGGGTCTCGCATGGTGGACACTTGCGCGCTCTTCTGCGTGGCTGCCTTCCTTTGGATAGGCACTTGTGCTGCAACACTGAAGTCAGAGGTGTTTCTTTCTCGGTTCGGAAAATATTTGTAATTCAGTCGGATTCAGAAAGAGCCTCCCTGCTTGGCGTCCAACACACGAGGGCTTGCGAGAGAGCCCGCCTGGCCAATGAGAGCGACAACAAGCCACAGGCCGAGGTTTCCTGGAAGGACTACTGGAGGGACTGGATCAAAGGCATGCCAGAGGAGGCGAAGACGAGGAGTGGCGAGCACATTGGAGCGAGGCACAACACCATGAGGGAAGAGGAGGAGAAGCGGGGCCACGACGTCAGCGTTGAGCAGGTCGGAGTGGTGCCATGGAACGCGAGACTTCACCATTTGCAAGAAGTGCTGGAGAGAGACGAACTGCAAGTCAGTGGGAATGCTGCCAGCCCTTGCCCCA